TTTTACAAGCACTCATAAAGCCTTTAAAGGCCACATAAACCCAACAAATTGGTCTCTTAGATTCTAGGATGTCTATCTTCAGCACATTTTTATATTCTGATAAATGGTAGCCCAAAAGATTTCTTCAAGGCTACTGGAGGTATTAGGCAAGGCGACCCTCTTTCTTCATTCGTATTCACTTTGGTTGCATAAGGGTTCGTATGATGTTTAAGAATATTTTTCAAAGGGATAGATTGATGAGCTTTCAAGTGGTTCATAGGAGACCAATTATTTTTCATCTGCATTATGCGGATGATACCATAGTTTTTTATGATGCAAACCCCGTATGATCAAGAACCCCAATATTTTCTCTTTACTGCCAATTGGCTCTGGGGCTTAAGGTCAATTTCCATAAAACGTCAATGGTTGGTGTTTCTTGTGATTTGGGTCTTCTTAATTCTTTGGCTTCTATCCTAAAATGTTGAGTTAATAAGTCTTGTCTTAAGTATTTGAGTGTTTCTATTTCAGACTCTAGACTTTCTTGGGTAGTTTGGGACCTTTTGATTCAAAGATATTAAGTTAAATTGAATCTTTGGAAATAAAAAATTTTATCTTTGGGAGGCCGTATTACTCTTGTGAAGTCTACCTATGTGAATCTGCCTATCTATTTGATGTTTGTTCTTCAAGTGCCTAGTGATGTCATCAAGATTATTGAGAGGTTTATGTCGAATTTTATTTGGGGTTCATATTATAGTGACCAAAAGAAATTTCATTTAATATGCTGGGATAAAATTTGCACTCCGATTAAAATAGGAGGACTGGGTATTCCAAGACTTAAATACATGAACTGGGCGCTACTTTCGAAGCAGTGGTGGCGAATTGTACAAGGCCCTAACCAACTTTAGATAGAAGTCTTAACGGCTAAGTACGGTTTTGACCATATCACTTATCTTGCCAATAAAGGAAGGCAGGGAAAATTTCATCTCAAGTTTGGAAAGGTATTTATATTTGCAAGAATGTGGTCCTTGGTAATATCAATTGGCTGATTGGTAGTGGTGAGAATAGTTTTTTATGATTTAACAGATGGCTTGATAACAGTTCCCTTAAGCTTCTCTCTCTGGATCGCTTCTCAAGAGTTACTTCTCCAGCTGCTAAGATTGCGGATTTATTTTCACGCAATCATTATGGAATTCTTGTTTGTAACATCGAATGCAGCTACAATAGATTGCCAAATTGTGTGATCTTGCAACTTCAAAATCTTTTGAATATGCTCGATAATGTTTACATCTCGCCAAATTATGAAGATCGAGTGATTTGGGAAAGTGAAAGTGATGGATCCTTTTCAGTCAAATCAGCTTACAGACTGTTTTTCCATGATCGAGTTAGATGGTCTTTTGAAGGCATTCATGCTATTTGGAAATAACCTATCCCGATGAAAGTTCAATCTTTTCTTTGTGTGGCTCTTCAAAATAAGTGTATTACAATTGACAATCTTCACTTGAGGGGGAAATTTTTACTAATGTTTGTCTCATGTGTAAAAATGCTGAAGAAACGGGTTGTCATCTATTCTTACAATGTTCCTTTGTTGATGCTATGTGGAAGTGGGCTTTTTGGCTACTTGGTTTCTCTCTTTCACTTCTTGCCAATTTAATTTCTATTATTAGTCATCTTCACATCCTTTCCTTACCTTCTAAATGCAATCTTATTTGGAAGATCTTCAGAAGCACTATTATTTGCTAGAAAGAAATAGAAGAACTTTTTATGGGATTTCCTTACACCTCCTCAATATTAAAGATACAATCCTACAGAGCATATGGGACTGGTTATTGGTCACAAAAGAAGGGTGTGGAGTTTCAAGGGCAGCTATTTTTGTTAACTTAACGTAGCTAGATTTTTCCTTTGTGCTCAAAATTCGGCAGGCCTCTATTTGGATGCCTCCTCCTGAGGGATCTTTTAAATTGAACTTTGATGACAGCTCTTTAAGAAATCTTGGTCCAACAGGAATAGGTAGTCTACACAAGGACCATCGTGGTTCTGTTGTTTTTTTTTATGCAAGACCTTGTGGTTCTACTATGGCTAACCAGGCTGAGTTAGTCCATCTACTCCATGATTTGGAAATTATAGTTAACAAAGGCATTTTGGGAACTATTTTCATTAAAGGAGATTTTCTAAATGTCATTAAATGGTGTTTGATAGAACAGTGAATACCTTGGACTCTTTATACATTTGAAAATCATGGATCTTTGCTCCTCTCCAGGACCTAGACTCCTTCTCTCACATTTTTCACAAAGCCAATGATTCAGGAGATCGACTTGCTAAATATGGAATTTTTTTTATCTTAGTTATTGATTTATGATGCTTTGATTCCAAATATGTAATCGATGCTTTCCAAGCAACCATTCAATAAAAGTACTTAATATTGTAAAAAAAAAAGAAATCCAAAAAAATTTAAGACTACAGTGCCTTACCTCTCTCTACCCCTTTTGTAGTTACATGTGATTAAGCATCTCTTCTCTCCCTCCATGTCCGAACTGCCCAAAAACTCTATGTTGAAACCTACTTTCTCTCTCTACCCGCCATATTTCTCTCTTTACCCACCCTCTCTCCATCTCTCTTCTTTCTTTACACTTCCTCTCATTCTCTCTCTACTACCTGCTCTCTCTCTCTACAAACAAACTCCAAAGCCATAAATTTTATCTAAAACAATGATACATAATTTTCCCTCATCTTATTCTCCCTCTTTTTCTCTCTCCTTTGTTTAACTTCTCCACTCTCTTTCCTTTCTCTCTTTCTTTTATTTTCTGTCATCCTGTACTCTTTCATTCTCTCATGAAATGCTTACTTAAAGTTACAAAAAATAAAATAAAAAAAGGTTTTCTACTACCGGATTTCAAATCTTATAGCCAATAATGATATAATAATTATAACCTCCTCATATTAGAAATAAAATGTCTCATTATATATATTTCCTTCATATTATTTCCTATGTTATTATTGAATCATTTGACCCTTAACCCTTCTCATTTCCACGTTTTGAGTAAAATATGGTGGCCCCAACCACCAACCACACAAGAAGTCCTTTGGAGGTATTTTATTTGTATTATATTGACGCCATTTACTCTATTTTCTTACAAAACTTATGGAACGCCTTTGTCTTTGTGGAAGTCACAGTCAACATGACATGGCTACCGTTTTGAACAAGCACGAAGTTGACCTAGACTCCAAGCAACAGCTTCCAGTAAATTGGGGCAGCAAAAGTAAGTTTGTTTTTTGGATTTATTTATCCAAATATTCCAAATTTGGAAATGGAAATGTAAACGGTAAGATAAGGGCATAGTTATCAAGATGGGGCTAATCCGATCTTTCACGGAGTAGATCAATGCTTTGATCAGTCTCGTCCAAGATAAAAATAAATTCATAATTTAAAACAACTTTTAGTTCGCAGTTCATCAAATGATTGATTTTAAATGGGTGTTTCAAGATGTTCCCTAGCGGCGAGGGTATCATGCTAGCAGCCTAGTACCACCCTAAATTTCAAAGGGTAGTTTACATGAGGTTGCAAACTTAAACCACAAAAATAAGACGTATTTCCAAACTTTGTTATAAGATGCAATTTTAGTGTCAAAAATTTTTAGGATGGCTCGAGAATCTATTTTAATATCTAATTATAAAATTTTAAACTCTTAAAAGTGGTTCAAATTAGGCATATCTATAAGTCCTTGAAAATCTTAAAAATGGAAGTTCCAAATAATATATCCCAATATATACTATTTTTTAGACTTAAAAGTTTTTTTTTTTTTTCATATCCATATATCTTAATACCGAGACGATCAATTAGATGGTTTTCCAATAACAAAATAGCCTTTTCCAGTGAGTGCACCTGAACTCTACAATTTAAGATTGTCAACTTTGTATAAACTATTTCCAATTTCAAAATCATGTGCATTCTTTCTCTCATTTTACTGCCTAGTATATAGTTATTAAGATGAAGCCAATCAAACTAGTAAGGGAACTGATCGGTGCCTTATCAGTCTGCTCCAAAGAAAAAACCTAGTTTACTTCAAAAAATTAGTGTGTAATTAGTTTTGATAAGTGGACCAATATATTTTAGTCGTTTAGATAAACTAAGAATTTTTTATAAGAAAAATATATAAAGAGATCAAGTATTTTTGGTACAAAGAGGTCACAATCACACTTATCCGTCAGATTTCAAATTGAATAGTTGTAAAAGTGGCATTGACTAGATTCAAAATTCAAAAACAAATTTCATACTTTGCGAAATACCCCAAATCATCCAGTGTGGCAACATCCAAGGGCTATGAGCAATTGTAACCTCCTTTAAATAAAGATAAAAATTCTCACAGTACACAAACCATTTTTTATAGACATTTCACATTTTTATTATAATATGTATTTTTTAAAAGAAAATGGTTTGATAGGGCTATAGCCTAATTATAGCCCTATCAAAATAAGTAAACCCTCACCTTATAACTCATTGTAAACTGTAATTTAAGTGTTGGAATACCTATAAATAGATCATCTCACCTGCAACATTATGATTGTGAAACAAAACAGGGTTTCAAGCTCTGAAAATAATGTATATTGCAAGAAATTATCTAGCCTATCTATTTTGTCCTAAAAATAAATATTCACATATCCACAAGATCTGTTCTATTTTTTAAATTTTAAATTTTATGGTAGGTGTTGAAAATTGATTTTAGAGTTAGCATAAATATTTTCAATGAGGAAAGTGCTATATGGAAACGGGAACATGAGATGAGGCTGTATCCTCCAAATAAGATAACATTGGTCAATCATAAAGGAATAAGACTTTTTATAGGAATCTATTGGTTATTTGACTGTCCATGGTGAAAGAGACAAAAGCATCCTTCTCTCCCGTCGCATTTCTTTACCCGCACAAATACACATCTTGATTCTTGACACGCGTTCTAATAATTGCATGCCTTTTATGGCCGCCGTCGTAGGATGAGATCCTGCGCCTCTCTCTCTCTCTCTCCCTCTCTATATTTAGACTCTCTTCTCCCCGATCTCTTTTCACTCTCTTTACATGTCCCGAGCTGCAATTTTTCTCACTTCAATTCTCTCTCTTATTTCCATTCAGTCACCAACTTCACCGGAAGCTTAAAGAGAGAAAGAGAAGAGAGAGAGAATTAGAGGTTTGAATCTTCATCATGTCGCCTCGCGATTCCTTTGCAGAGGTGCGTGACCTGCTTTGTGCGTCCTTAGGAATCGAGATCGAAGTTTTTTAATTCTTTCCATTCTTTTACTTGCATAGTGATAATTGTTTTCTAGAAACCTGGAATTAAATCAGATTCTGGTTTGATTCTTGGTGATCTCTTTGTAGCTTGTTCGTTCAGATGATGAACTTGTCCATTAAATTGATTGTTTATTTTCTATCACAAAAATTGTCTCACTCTGCTCTAATTTTTCAATTTTTTCTTGAATTCGTGATTTTTTTTCTTGTTCCCATTTAATAATTTTACCGAGATGATAATTCATGGAGAGTATAGTATTTTTCCTTTTAATCTTTTGCTATAGAGGTATTCTTCGTTTTTTCTCGAATTTTTTAAGTTTTTTCTTGTTCCCATTTAATGATTCTTCCCGAGATGATAATTCATGAAGAATATAGTATTTTTCTTTTTTAATAGAGGTAACTTAGCAGGTGACTACTGTTCACTGCGAATCTTTTAAAATGTCAATGCAAAAACTGAAAAGATTAAACTGAACCACTGTATTGATGCCATGGAAATCCAAATGCGTTGCTTCATTTACATGAATTATAGGGTCTACAAGGGTAAACCATGTTCATTCAATTCACTTTTGATACAAAATTTTCATGAATTGCCTGTGTGATGAAATTGAATTAGTGTAGTATAAGCCTTTTAGACAGTTTTTAAGTACTTCTACCAATCCAGTGACATTAGGAAAAGGTTTATTTGCATCATCCTTAGAAGTTATATTATCACTTCAGTCATTAACACAATCCTCAAAACTTATTGATTCTCCCCTGAAGCTTCGGCATCACTCATCATAATAACCTCGTAAATTCCGTGGGAGATTTGCATATTGCCTCACTAAATTTTGGTTGTTCAGACGCCTCTTCCCTTAATGTTTCTAAAGTACTGTCCCAACTCATCAGCTTGATCCATTTAAGATGGTCTAATCATAAATGAGGGTGTATGCATGCATGTGCCTGTGCCTGTGCCTGTGCGCATGCGCACCTGATGCATTTTTATGGAGCTTCATAGGTTGCCTCATACGTCATTTCTTTCTGCTTTGTGTTAAACTCAGAACCAACACAATGCCTATTACGAATGGAATTCTTGAAAATCTTTCACATGTTTGAGTTTTTATCTATGCATGATATTTGAATCATTATTATCTTTTTCTCTACTGCATATGTTGTTTTCCCTCATTACACCATGATAACTAGAAAATAGAGATTGGTATCGTACAAACGCACAGATAATTCGTTACCGTCAAAATATGGATTAAATAAAGTTATCCTTTGAGACGTAGTTTAGATACTAGTGTCGCATTATATGCTAAAAGAGCATGTCTCCTGCCAGGTGACGTTTTGTGTGTGTTACCTTACCGAAGTTTAAAATGCTTGACCAATATGGTGTTATCCATTGAGCGTATTTTACTATTTTTGAGCAAGTTATTTTTCAACATCAATTGCAATAACTTTGTTTACTAGCACCTATTATAGATGATTGTAGACCAACACAAGGTATATCCAATATTGTTTTTTACCTTCTGCCCAAAATATGTCTTTCTGCCCAAACAGGCCTCATCTGGGAAGGAATCCAGTGTAAGTCGCTCACAACCTCAAGAGAATGGTGTTGAAAGCGCTCTTCATTCCATGGAATCAGTTCATGGATTGGAAGAAATCCTTCAACAGTCAGTTGTCAAAACAATTGATCAGAATTTGGTCGAGTTTTCTGAGGCACTGAGAAGTAAGATGGCATGCCCTGTATTTCTATCCGCATATTAGTGTCATTAAGAATTTGATTTGGATAACTGCTTCATATTCTCCACTGTATTAAATTTCAGTCAAAATTTTATACTGGTATCAACTTATTTTAAGTAAAGGCAAGGAATGGATTTTTCTTTATTTTGAGTCCCTCAAATAAAGCTTCTCATTCTCTATTAAGCTACCTATTAAAAAGGAGGGAAACAAGTGGTAGTCTACGTTTTCCTTGACTGGTGTGACTTTCTTTATACCAAGTTTATGAATTTTCTATGGACATATGTAATCAATTAGAACTTACAGAAGTAGCTATTTTTTATTCAGATTTTTTTAAAAAAAAATTTTGTTGACTTGAATTTGTAATTTAAAAGGTTTTCTTGGAACCTGAATTTTATGCTTATGCCTCTGAGTGTAAATTATATTGTCAGATTATATCTGTATTATTAAGCTCTAATCCCTTCATCTTTCTGCCAATTCACAGGTGTTGCAAAAGTGCTAAGATGTGTTGTTGAAGGGAGAGCTTCTGCTCAAGCAGAGGCTGCTGAATGGAAACGTAAACTTGAAATAGAGAGAGCGCGGAATATGCATTTAAAGCTAAAAGGTTTAGAAAAGGAAGCTGATCACTGTCTCTGTGATTCTATATCAGCCTTTGGAATACAAATGACTTTCAGTTTCTCTAGTACTTTGGTTATTTTGTGTTTACATTATGTCTATTTGTGTCTAAAGGAAAAGTGTCGGTGCATTGGGGCCCACACATGTTATTATTTGGGCCCTGAAATCTGTACCATTTAATGTAATTCAGCGGTGTTTGTCACACCCAAAAACCAACCCGTCGCAATTGTTGGGTGCAATCTGCCTCATCCTGTTATAGTGGACAGTGCAGATTATAGGGCATGCACTACTTTTGGTGTGTCAAAGCCTGCACCAAACCGGGTCTTTATTTAAATAGTTGAAATTGTTGGTTGGAAAATGCCTTGGTATTAGCTTCTCGCTTTTGCATAATATTTTATTTATTTGGCTATGATTTTGTGTGATCTTGTGATGTATAGTTTGTGAATAGAGACAGCATATGATTGTAATTGGTAACAGAGATTGTAATGTTGTTTACAGAAATGTCTATTGAAGACACCCCAATTGATAATGGTGATAAAAGGTTGAGAAATACTTCCAATCAAGCTGAGACACGAAATTCATCAAACATGGCAACTGAAAGGTGCTGTGGGAACCATGGAATTTGTACACACGAGGTTCTTCGCGATAGGAATTCAGAGTCTGAATCTAGTGCGGTGGCCAAGATGATGTGCAGAAAGGTAGAGGATTTGATGCGAAAGAGAGATTGATTCTATCTAGTAGCTCAGAATGTGTTTTGTTAGCTAATGTACGCTGCGTAGAATATTAGTGATATCGAATATCGTTAATTTGCTCGATACTTATTGCTTACAGTAGATTCACCTTCCCAGTTGCTTACATAATAATTGTTGTAGGAGTATCGTGGATACACTTCATAGTATTGCTCTTGTTCAATAAATACTCAAGTTGGTAATCTAATTTATATTTATGATCTACGTTAACAATACTTCTTCTAAAGTTCTTTATGGTTCGCTAAGCATTTGTTCTAAGGCATCTCATATTATTGTTGCAACCTACATGTCCAATAGTTTTTGAATAAATGTTGGCTTTTTCTGTTGTTATTTGAACTTATTCTTGATAGGCCTGGGACTTACTGAGAGTCCTGTTAGATTAATTGTGTAACACCTGCGTAGATTTGTGACCCTTGCTTGACTATGTGAGGTGCTTCTGCATTCCTAATTATATGACCAAGTTATTGTGATTTTGTAATCAATAGGGACTAACTTGCCAGGTATGTCACATCCAACTCTATTGTTCATAATCATACGACAATTTAAGAGCTAAATTATCGAATTTCCCTTGTATATGGAAATACACCTCAATCCATCCAAATTTTTTCCCAAGCACCTGGGAGGTATCAATAGGTTTTCATATGATTTGCCACCTTGCTCTCTCTACAATTTCCATGTATCTATTGTGTGACATTCTTGCCATGTGGTAGATACATATATTGTGTATTGACTTATCTTTCATAGAGAATTATAGCTTTTTCTTTTGGATGGAAAATCCTAGGTGCTCATATTGGATCCCAACTTAAGTTTTACATCATTATGGCCCTTCTTTTTTCTCCTAAGGCAGGCATCATTTAAACTTGCTTGGGGTTGCAAGGGTGAGAGAAATGGTCAGCACAAGCACGATGTTGTCTCCTTTGAAAGAGGAAACATCACAACCGCTGAGCGCAGCAGTAAACAGGTATTCTTGTTGTTTTCAATATGAATGAATTGCTGTTGGCTGATTCTGCTATATTAATTGGATGCAAATCAGTTAGATATAATTGGATTGCTCATATCTGAATTTTTGTTATTAAGTACATTAATGTGGGTCAATTTTAATTTTTTTTGGTTCCTCTCTTTGGCAAGAGTACTCTATAGTCTATACACTGTCGGAAATCTATTTGGTATGCCAATTGATTGTAATTTTTAATTGTTTATATACCATGGTTGGCCTAATTGAACGTTGGTGTTTATTTTCAGATTTCATTGAAATGGGAAACAGATCCACAAACTGTATTTGTTCTCACAAAGCCAAATTCAACTTCAGTCCGCATTTTATGTTCTGAAATGGTCAGGTATGCTTGTCAACTTTCCACGATGTGACTCAATGGTGACTCTCTATTATCTAATTCATGTGTCATGAGGTTATGGAAAACGATTGTAATAACCAATAGTGATTTATGGCATAGTTTTAAAATTGGCACTGACATATAAGATAATCTGAAGTTTGTAGTTCCCATTTTCTTTGTGCTTTGTAGTCAAAGCCAGCATGAACAGGCATAGCAGAGTTCCTTCTCTTGTTTCTCCTATTATTATGGAGCTCAATCCTATAATATTATGCAGTATTTTTCTGTAAAGCAATTTAATAATAGAATAAGGGAAATTTATCCAAATACCGATTAGAGGTGAATTATTTAACATGCTACCCATATCTTTTGATGTGATTTCAGAATGCCCATTAAAAGACACATGATCATGAGTTGCAATAGTTGCAAAAATAGGCAAAATATTGAATAGTTCATCTCTTGTGGATATTTTAATCAATTTCCCATAAAGTAATATCTCAATGCAATAATAAAAGTTACATTTCTAATCATAGTCTGGTCGTTCTCTTATCGTGGATGCTGTGTTATATGTTATGGTTCTAAGAATCATTGTCTCTTGCAGTTTATCTTAGTATGTTTGAGCTTAATTGTGAATCTTAAAGAAACTTGCTCATGTTAGGTGCCTGTGAATCATTTGATAACTTCACAAATTCATTTTGTATATTAAAATGTATGAAATTCTTCCTGTATTATTAATTATGTTCTCTTGCTTATTTGGTCACTATAAATTGTAATGCTCTTTTTATGATTGATTGAAACCATCATATATCCAAAAGTAGGTGTTTTTTATCAGGTTCTTTTACTGCATTTCTCTAAGTTACACGAAATACTATTGCCAAATTATTGTTATTCATTGTGTTTCTCTTTCTATGCATTCATGCGGATATTGTAGTTGCCATAATGTATGATACGGCCCTTTTCCCGTTCATGCATTTTCAAGTCTTTTGTCCAAATTGTAAATGTGCTTTTTATATTTTGGACACGGTTTCTATGAGTCCCCGGACTCGTAGAAACGCGGCCCCTGTTAATAATCTCTTTTTGAAATAAATTTTGACCTTGATTTCTAAAGATTATACAATCCCAATATGGAGATCATTAATGTGTAACAAATTTTTTTAAAAAAAACTAGAAATAATATTTTTTACAAGGAAATACTTGAGCCATTAATTTTACCTTTTTTTTTGGAGAGACCATCACTTGCATCCAACTTTAGATGGATGGTTTATGCCTCGGGGGTGTAAATGTAGAAATGCGTCCCCCGACGCATAAACTACCTTTCCTTATATTTTTCCTTAAATTATGTAGTTTGTCATTGCAGATGGCTGAAAGAGCACAAAAAATTAAATGTTTTTGTGGAACCTCGAGTTAGAAAAGAACTTCTTGCTGAGAGTTCTTATTTTGATTTTGTACAGACATGGGAAGAAGGTGAGCACAAAGCTACAAATTTATTTTATCTTTTACCCATATACTCATCCGCTAGGCAATATTTGTTATCTAGAATTTATTTGTTGCAAATTATTGTTTGGTGGCATGCTCATTTGTTGTCAATGATGCGTTATTGAACTTTTTCCTGTCCATTTTATTATTGTTATCTTCCAGAATCACCTGGATAACTATTTTACGCATACTGATCACATTGCGTTCATTGCATGCAGTATCCCTATTTCATCATGTGGTCCCTTGTCTCTAATGTGGTTGGATGCTTCGTTTGAAGTATTTGTTCTTAATTTTGCAATTAATATTTTGGAAAAGTCATTCAGCAGAAAAAATAGAAACACAAGCTGTAGAAACCTTTGCTTGGTGGGACGGTCTGGAACCTTCATGAGAAGAGATCTAGGACATAAAAATCGCAAACTATTCCCGATAATCTGGAGCATCAAGTATTATTACAAATTGTAGGGATGCTTACAAACCATAGAGGTCTAGTATAATAAAGGATGACTCTAACTTGCCAGAAGAGAGAACTTGACTTTAATCAATGCTTTCCTGATCTTTACACCATAGGTTGCAACAACTGGGCATGTGGAATCTCCTTGCTAGGTTATCACGAAACTAGTTGTGTTTTGGAACAATCCAATGAAACTGTTGCTGATGATCTGTTGTGTATACTCTACTAGCTGTTATGCATATACCCTAGTGTTCTAGAAACTTTGGTGGATGATGTTGGCATAGCATGGGGATCCAATTTAATGTTAAATGAGCCTGAATGGATTATTGTCCAAGTAAGAGGATTCTCATAGTCTGAGGTGGGGATGCAGTGTTTTGCTTCTACTATCATAGTTCGCATAGTGATTAACTATCATAGGAGAATCTCGTAGTCCTCAACCATCATTTCATTCTCAACTGAGCAGAGTAATGGGATACAGTAGTTGTCATGCAGTTGTGGTTCATGGAAGAGCAGATTGATTTCTGGGCAGAACTGTGAAGGGTTCCAGTCTCTCCCCTCCCCCCCCCCCACCAAATAAAATAAAAAAATGGGCTCACAAAAATTTGATTTCTTCTCCATTGACAAGACATAGCTCTGGTTCCTTTTAATGGTCCTGGTTACATAATCTCATTGGTTTTTGTTTGGTTTCACTCACGGAATGAATAGATGCTTAAAATATGAAATGATGAGCGACATACATCAGAGACCTTGCATGCAGCGTGGGCTTTATATTCAATCTTTAATTACGTAAAATCCCTTATGGATGATCACACTGTTGGAATTTTATTCTATGATCATTTCACTCCTAGTGAATGATTATACTTGAATAATTGCCTTTTATGACTTCTAAGTTTTGGGCTGGGAATAGTTATATAAATTTTAAAACTTCCACTGAATTAGTTCAGTATACTTACAAATTAAGGACTCATCAAAATAATAAAGATTTACTCGGCTTGGATGAATTGCATCAAATTTCCTTTGGATCTATATGTCCATGAGTGGTAATTCTCTATAATCTAGTGAAAAAATTATGGTATTGCATAGATTGCATTCACGTGGTTAATTTGGTGTTTTATTTGGTCTTATGACACAGATGAGGAGATTTTGCTCCTTCACACGCAAGTTGATCTTGTTATAACCCTGGGTGGTGATGGAACCGTTCTCTGGGTGAGTGCACAAAACATTTTCCATTGATGGTGGAAGCTTTGCTTGAACAAATTTTATGAATATTGTGATAGTAATGTCATTGTTTGCTTTGTACACATTTATTTTTTTCTAAGAAAAAGCAGCTGTTGGTGGAGTACCATAAGATTGTATTGATCCAATTATAGGTGCCATAAGATTGTATTGATCCAATCAGAGAAGCATTCTGTAGCATGGGTCTTACTTGCCAGTTTATAAATATGTGTCATGGGGAAGAATTTTCTCAAGATATCTGGTGATGCATTGTATAAAGATAGTCCGGGCTAATAATCTAATTACACCAAAAGTCGTATGTATGTGAGGGGGGGATTTACTTTTGGAGAGATAATGGTGTGTAGTGACAGACCATAGATCACTTGAAAATCCCGAAGTTCGTTAAACTTATTAGTCGACTGGACAGCAGGGAATCAAATGTTCTCTTGGAATTCACTATGGTAGAATAAGGATATAAACAGTATGCTGCATTTAGCCTTTACCATCTGGTGAACAACAGATTATTGAGATGACAGCCATGCCTTATCATATGTATTGAATTGGTTGGGATGTTTGAAACTTCTGTGATACTCATAAATACTTTCTATGTACAGGCAGCATCAATGTTCAAGGGACCAGTTCCTCCTGTTGTATCATTTTCATTGGGGTCACTGGGATTCATGACACCATTCCGTATCCTTCTTAAGTTTTTGAACGAGCTAATGTTGAGTTTCTGTGTCCTGTTATTCATCTGTGTGTGTGCTCATTTCACATATTGAGGCTTTATCCGCAAGCTGTGTCATGGTTTGGTGCTGTTTCGGCGACGAGCCATTTATGTTTGAAATGGCACTTTTGGGTGCCACTTTATCTCAGGTGTGCATTGCCATAAAACTCCACCACTTCGTGATGAAAGTACCAGTTTCATCCAACCCACAAATTGAAGGCTTTAAGTGGAGCACAGACCAAATGATGGCCCAGCTTATGTGGTCATCGGGACTCGGGTTAAGCACTCTAGTCTGCTTGGATATAGATATATTAAGTACTGTTTGTTGGGTGTTTCCAATTCTTTTGGAGAGTAGTTCAAACAGTGGAATTAAAAAATTTTGGAGATATTTTCAATAATGAAGGGTGCCAATGCATCACAACAAACAATTCCAAGAATGATTGTAGTATATCACTATATTTCCATTTGTCTCAACAGTTTCGTACTGTAACATGGCATCGCATGTATACACTATGATTTGAATGAGTTGAAGTTTCTTTTTATAGTGCAATTAAAATACATTGGTTCTAAAGTGACAATGGAGTTGTCACATGATGTTGCTTCTATCTGCCACATAAATTAACTTCCTCTCAGGCAGAAAATGTAACTTTTCCAATTTCCTTTGGTGGAATGGGTACGAGAAGTCTGAGAAATCAAAATTTTGGCTTGTAACTGTGTGAAAATGCACTCCTTCAGTTCATATGCCTTTTATATTTGAAAAATGAGTCATCATATGTGTTCTTTAACAATCTTCAGAAAGCGAATTTTACAAAGAATCCCTAGATGCAATTTTGAAGGGTCCCATCAGTATCACACTACGCCATCGTCTGATATGCCATGTTATAAGAGATGGAGCCAAAGATGAGCTGGAAACTGAAGAACCCATGCTAGTTTTGAATGAAGTTACAATTGATCGTGGTATGTCATCCTTTCTAACTCAACTGGAATGTTATTGTGACAACTCATTTGTCACATGCGTGCAAGGAGATGGGTTGATTTTATCAACGACATCAGGAAGCACGGCTTACTCGCTAGCAGCTGGTGGATCCATGGTCCATCCTCAGGTATCAGCTTTGGCCTTTTTCCTGTTTGCAAATTAAACCTACAATTTATGAAATCTTACATATTCATGCAAAGGTACCAAATGGACTTGCTTTAGTTTCCTTAACTTACAACATGTTGCATTTTGGTAGAAGTTGACCATGACATTGGGGTTGTATTTGGGGACAAATCTGTTGCCATGATAGGTGGCAATGAGATGATTTAGATACAGAGACATTAGGCCTGTGTAGTATGTATCCTATTCTTCATGTGGGGTTTCTTAGTAGTTTCCCATTGGAAAAAATTTGAAGTTCATATCTGTTGCTTTTCTGTAAAGCTTAACTCAATGTGTCCGTGGTGCACTGTTATGGAAGATACCTTCAAAAATGCCTGCTTTGATATGAGAACTTACTGCTGTTTTGATAGTTTGGGAATGGTTCTTGTTGCCTGTCCTAATATTGGTCAATTTTGTAGTTAATTAACTGAACATTATGCGTAAACTATGTACAAATTTTTCGTCTGCCATTCATATGAATTTTCTGACTATGTGAAATAAGTTACATGGCTTCAAATTCATTGTAAAATTACAAGGAGAGCCAAAAAAAAAGAAGAGAGGAAATTACTTAATTTTAGTTTGCTTGACAGCTTCTCCTTTTGTGCTTTGAATCTTATATTTGTAGGTTGCCAGTTTGCTGCACAATAGAATCTGAAATGTCATATCGATTATTTTCTGTCTTGAACGCCCAAACCTTCTATAGTCTTTGAAAGTAACAAATATCTTGCTTGTGTTCTATAAAAGCTCAAGCTTAGAGAAACCAATATGCTAATGCAGGTACCCGGAATCCTCTTCACCCCAATTTGCCCTCACTCTTTGTCGTTTAGGCCTCTGATCTTGCCCGAGTATGTAACCGTTAGGGTTCAAGTACCTTTCAATAGCAGGGGACAAGCTTGGGCTTCGTTTGATGGAAAAGACCGGAAGCAATTATCAGCGGGGGATGCTCTCATATGCAGTATGGCTCCATGGCCTGTTCCCACTGCTTGCCAAGTAGACTCCACCAATGACTTTCTTCATAGTATCCATGAAGGCCTTCATTGGAACCTCAGAAAGACCCAGTCCTTTGATGGCCCTCAAGATCTGTGATTCAGTTCTGACAATGGTTATGAAAATCAGCTAGGATCTCTCTCTCTCTCTCTCTCTGGTTACAAATAGATAGAAAGAAAAAAAGGAAAGGAAAGAGCTAGAGAAGATTTGACGAAGCTGAAATGTTATAATGTATACTGTGAAGTTATTATTTGACATCCATGGAATGTGGAATCCATTTCCTGTGGGCTTTGTAATATGCAGTATCATAGAAGTAACTTTATGTTTCTTAATCTGATTCATCCCGAGGGGAGGAGTTATTGTATATTCTATGAATCAATGCTTAGATGTGTACTTGTTAGTAGATGCTGATGTTAATTGGCAAAATGTTCAGTCAAATCCAGGATAGAAATTGTGTGTCTGAGCATTATATATCCTAGTGACCCCTTCTTCTTTGCCTCTATTGCCTTATTTTCTGAGACGAATTTAATGTTTCCAAAAGAGTTTTTAAGTGCACATTTTCAAGCTTTCTTAGGGCTAAGCAACCACCCAATTAGAGGCCTGTTTATGTACTTTATGTGGGGGGGGGGAGGCTTAAGTATGCTAGCCATGTGTGGCGCAGTCTCAGTATAATACCCATTCGGAGGTGCGAGTTAATTCAAGTGGAAGGCTAAAAAGGACAAGGGGTAAGTCCAAAAGGATGGTTGGAAATAGTGAGAAAAGATGAGATTTATGGTTTCATTGAGGGTATGACTTTTAATAGAACAGGATGGTGGATCAAGATTTGTGTAGTTAAATCCAAATAGTTGAAAAAATGTTTTGATGATGTTGTAGCACATTATACTCTTATTCTTTTATTCAAAAGAGGTATTTGGGAGGATTTTGTTAACGTGGCATTTTGAGATCCACTTTAGAATCAGAAGATAGAGTATTTTCAAAGATAAAGAAAACTGAGACGTTTGATCTAATAACCAAAAAATCGGAAAGATTAAGAAAACTGAGACGTTGAATCTGACCAACGAAAAATTGGAAAGAACAAAGAAACAGAGAAGTTGGATCTGACCACCAAATAATTGGACGTTTCAATGCTATTTTCTTCAAGCACAAATAAAATACATATAATTTTCCCTCTACCCTTTTGTTCGAGGTGAGTCACTAAGTTGAGGACATTTAAGTCTCCAAGTTTTCGGGTGCTAAAGATACTTTTAGATAGGGTATTTCCTAAGGTTATGAATAAACGTTCTCTTGGCTTTTGAGTAGGGTCTTGCCTAAGGTTTCGAAAAAAACGCTTCGATTCTGAGAGTATTATACATTGGATACTGGACGGTTGTCGTTTGGGATGGGTCGTTTAGACTAACATAGTTTTAAGGATCCTATGGTGGTCAATGGACCACAGATGGGACTTGATTTTGTTTTTTTCTTTAGGGAAAAATAAATAAATTATTGAATTTTGGTTTTTAAAAATTTAGACAACATTTTGAATTCTTAAATCGATCTAAAACAATGTTTTATTACATTAAAACTCATAGAAATATGATTTCGGGATGAATAGGTCTGCACCCCGATTTAGCAAGGCATTGCACAAGTCACCCACCAATTCCGATTCAAACCAAGCCAAATCCAGTCCCATTGTTGGAACCTTGATATCTGTAATGTAACAAATGGACGATGCGCAAGCTCTCAACAGAAAATAAGGAAATGAATCATAAAAATAATGGACAACAATAAAACACAGAAAAAACAAATCAAAGAGTTAATATAAACAACAAATAGTTTTGCAAATACATAAACTACATAATAGTATGAACAAACATCTATAGTTCGAACGTGCAGCATGCAGATAGAAAACTAAACACAATAAATACCATTCACTAAATCAGCTGCAAAGGACGGCATTTTTCTTTGGCATCGGTAGCCGTAGCCAGAATTTATTCATTGTTAAACTGAGGGTCCAAAGGTGTGATAAAGATCATAACCATCGCACTAACAAAGCAAATTCAGTTTTCAAAATCCGCCGCCAAGGCAGTAAATAAAGCACTAACAAAGCAAATTCCATATGCTATATAATGATGAGGGAGTAGTGTGCATGACCTACTCGGGGCAAATACAACGTAGACGCAAACAAGGCAGAAATTTGAGAGTCGCCAATAGGCCCCAAACACCTTGACTCGAGATGGAACAATATCGTCGTGGTACTGAAAATACAATAGCTTGGGCCAGCAAAACAACAGACAAATTTTTTTGAACAGATACCACAATAGCTGTTGTACATTTTTTAAAGTTCATTAACATTACAAAAAATGCACATCAATTTCTTTTTTCTTACCAATAAATGGAATTTAGTAATTGCAGAATAAGGGTACAACTATACAAGCTCTAAGAACTCTTGCAATTCTGCAAAGATGCCACTAATCATCATGGTACAACCACAGATAGCTCAACAAAGGCCAATCTGGACGCTTCTATAACTTCAAAGAATAGGCCCCAGATATCTAGTAGCAAAAAAGTATACATATCTATAATAAGCCAGGCCCTACAAAATCCTGACTCCTTTATCTCATGATAAGTAACCAAAATTCAAACCCTAAGTGCCGACCCGCCTTACGCTACAAAGCAGCTCATTCTACAAAACAAAGATATGATTGTGGCTTTAAAGCATTGATAAATCTTGATAAAGCAACCCCGCAACTGATCTGAAGAAAGCCTTAATATCTCACTCATGCAAATAGAGTCTTTACTTGCAAATCCGTTGGCCCATTACATTCATAAATTGCCTGTTTAAAGCAGTCGAAGACCTGCACAGTAAAAGTATTAGCACACTATATAGACACTGCACGTTCAGCCAATGAGAGAGAGAGAGAAAGAGAGAACCTTTCTTTGCAAGCTCCGTGATGGGCTAAATCAAAGAAAAACTACAGGTACCCATGCATATCAGTGGAATTTCTAGTCTGGTCCTTTATGACTCTTTCCCCATGGGATTGCTCGTCTTCTGCAGTCCTGATTTCTTTTGAACCTTGGAAGATGCATTATCCCTTTTGAACTGGGGTGCAGCTTGTACGAGGTGTTTTCCATTCTTTTGTGGCCTATGTTTGACATGGTTGCCTCTATCTAGCCTCCCGTTCAAGTGCTTACCTCTGCTGTTCTTCCCACCTCCACGATCATGTTTCTGTCGTTTAACTTGAGATTGGTCTTTGAGAGTTCGTGTCATTTTGTTCCTCCAACCCTTCTGATTATCGTTATGAGCAGACAAGCTAGAATTGTTTAATTCAGAATTACTCTGTTTAAATCTCTTGTGTGTTTTTCCTTTCTCTTTTACTCCAGGAGCCCATGAACCATTTCTCTCCTTTCTCGAAAACCCATCTTTCTCACGAGTTCTTTTCGGTCCCCTACAGAAAACTTATTCGTGAAAATGACAGAAGATTTCTCATATATAAACCATTTCACTCTCTAGCAACTAAAGAAAAAGAAGAAATAACATATAGCCTGAAAGAGCAACAAATTCTTTGTAATAGAAGTTCAGACCTTTCAGGAGTAGAATTGATTGGTTTTGATGAATCAGAAGGAATACTGACTACTTTGGAATTTGTTTTTCCCTGACGTTGCTGTTAAAAGATGAGGGTAGGTCCAAGTGAGAAGTGCAAAATATGAAGAAATGAAATTAGCAAAGTTGGTAAAAAGTACCCATCTGCTAGCATACCTCAATAATGCTTTTGAGTGTCTCCTTGTATTTATCTGGTGTGACAGACCTCACAGAACCAAAACCACACTTTCGAATCAGGATTTCTAGTATTATCCAGACCTGCCAATGTATAATTGGTTTAGTTAAGTTTATACCCATATACATAAACATACACACACACACACACACACACCTCCCCCCCCACACACACACACAGAACCTTGGACTTAAAATGGTTTTTGGAGTCAGATGACCATGGCAGAACTCCATTGACAATATCCAACAATGGCATCTTCAGGTCTTTGGCTTGTAAGCATGTCACTAGAACTTTAACGAACCCCAAAACTGCCTGTTTCATGCACGATCAACTTCAAGCAAACCACTCTTTTAAGCCATTGTATTCAGAAAATATAACAAGAGCTAAAGAAGAACTTACCTTGATCACTTCCCTGGCTTTGCTTTGAAGCAATGCTAAAACTGAAGGAAGCAAATCAGGCACAGAAAAACAAACACTAGGGTTCTCATATATCAACCATGATAGAGCAGCCACCGATGCGCTCATTACACGCGGAGTAGTCCCAGCAAGACATCCCATGATCTGAGAAGAGAAAAAACATGTGCAGGGTAACATTCGTTTAGTTTCCTCTCTTGAAGAAAAGCAGAGAAGATGTGGCATGAGTTATCAAAATTGAAAATTTCAATCCGAATTTTGCATAATAGATTTTCTTGGAGAGGCAAATTGTGTAAACCTAGCAGCTAATAAATTTATCTACTGTTTTCTGTTATCCAAAAATCAAATGATCACATAAAGTGAGAAAATTACATCCAAGTAGAACAAATGAGATAGAGAAAACAATCCATGAGTGCTATCTTAAGGGATTTTACAGTACATTCGAATTTAATATATGCCCTTGCAAAACAAAGTCAAAGATCAGGTAGATCATCCTGCCAGACTTCACACCAGGATAGGGTCAATCTATGCATGTTATCAAGTGTCAACCAGAGAAACCTGGTTTCCTGGAGCTTTTACCAGTTGCATAAAGCCAATAATAATGCAAGTAAAAGCTCTAAGTCAACACAGTAAGGTATGACACGAGAAGTATCGAAGGATGCAGAACGCAATGGACTGAATAACAAACAAAAGGACTCCTTTGAAGTTACCTCATTGTACGGTTTTTTCCAACAAGACAATAAAATCTGACATAATTATTACGCACACTCAGAAAAAAAATGCATAAATTATTTTCTAGAGTAACAGTGGCTAGTTCACAGAAAAAAATGCATAAATTCTAGGGAAAATTTTGTATAGATAATTCCTCATATTATTTCATGGTAGACCATCCTTCTGATTTTTTTTCATGCGGCATAAAGAAACCCCAAAAGATTTCACTGTACCCCCTCATCTCTTATCTCCCTCTTTTATTGACTTTTGATCATAAAAATTAGGCCCAACAAATCTTTTTATACCATTTCAACCCAAAAACCTTTTTAATGGGAGGAATGGGGAAAAGAGGGTTAAAAAAGTTTTTGGTTTAAAATGGTATAAAAAGATTTGTTGAGGCTAATTTTTATGGTCAAAAGTCAATAAAAGAGGGAGATAAGAGATGCGGGGGTGCGGTGAAATCCTTGGAGGGTTTCCTTATGCCTCTTGGAAGAAAAAATGAAGGAGGGTCTACCATGAAATAATATGAGGAATTAGGGTTCTATACGAAATTTTCCCTAAATTCTAACATTGTGGTTGTAAAATTACTATTTAGTTCCTACCATTAACCATGAAGACAAGAATACAAAAACTGCCTAGAAGATATTGATCTGTAGTATCTAAAGATGTCCATAATAACCAATTGAAAGCATATCTTACCATACTAAACAACCGCTGAATTGGGTCACCAGAAGAACAGCTCCTCAAGCTGCAGCTTGTCTGGAGAAGCACATCATAAGCTAATTTCCTTGCTTCTTTATTCGACTGCAGAAGCACAGAACAAGAAGATCTCAATTAGCTGCTATTTGGGCTTTCTATGTAAATAACTACATGCAGAACCCAAAGTTGAAAAACCTCATCATAAAAGATAACTCAAGAACAAGCTCTCCACTAATAACATAGGAGGGAACGTCAGATGCCGTTTTCCTTAGTTAACAGCATTTAGGAAGGGTTAGAACCCATATCTTTTACCAAATCCATAACATTCTCTTGATAGTTAATACTCTGTTACCTCTCTTTGGTCCCCTTTTACATTACTTTAGTCATACAAAACACTGCAATTTTTAGCAGCCATTTGCATTCTATCTGGAAAGGGATCCTCACCTCTTTCCATCCCTACAGTATGGAGTTCAATCGTGCTCTGATACTAACCCATTACCGCCTGTTACATATCCTGCTGCCAAACGAAGCCTCAGTTATATTTGCTTATTTGTTGCTTTCTCTTTTTATTGTACTTTGATTTCCATTTTGTAAAGTTAGTACCAATTAAAGAACAGGAGAAACTTGCGTGGTATCATAGAATCATGTGCAGCTTATAACTAAACTTATAACTCGAGTAATGCCATCTCAGAAGCAACCACACGAAAGTAAGACCTGTTCCTTAGGAATAAAGAAGAAACACAAAAAGAGTAAGCAATGAACTGCATCAAATAGGGAGGAAAATGAGTTACAACTTCCAAAACATCCCCAACAGAAACTTACATCCTTCAGAGATTGTATGATCTGGTTGAGAATTAATAAAGCCCTGGTACTCATGTTCTCTAAATTATTCTGCACATGGCATAAGAAAGCTTCAGGATAACATCGGAAATACATTCTGAAATAATTCAAATGCCAAGAATAATGTTCCTCCAAAAATAGGCTTGACTGCATATCGAGTTTCAAGTAATTACCATTACTAAAAAAAGGTAAATTAACAATATGATGCCACAGTAGAGATCATAAACTCTCTGGGAATAGAAGTAAAAGATAAATTTGCCCCAAAAACAATGCATGTTGTATACATTACATGATCAAGTTATGACTATTAACTACATGTTCATTTCAATCAGTGACATACAGCATAACGTTAGGAAGGTTATGGTTAACAGCAAGTTTATCATGCTTCTGGAAAAGTGAAACAGGTTACCAGCTCTCAGAGCATGCAATTTGCGACTATATAACATTTCATATAACTTCTTGCAGTTGAAATTCACTACCGATTTGTATTTAATTTAGGACCCTTTTCACAAGTCCCAGACTTATGGTGATGACTATTATACCTATGGCCACAATTAAGAACAAAACATTGGATATTTGAGAATGATTCATGGAAAGCAATGGATAGATTTAAAGAAAAGTTTTCACAAATAAGAGCTACTGATAAGTAAAATGGTCTTCTGACCTCTAAAAGGTAAACCAATATATGATGGAAACAGGCAAAGTGACTTTTCTGGGCAGCAGCAGATGGCTTTGCACCAAGCAGAAGCTCAATCAGTTCATCTAACCTTGTTGAACAAAACCAAGTATGCTCCTGCACGTTGTAGCAAAATACTAGAATATGAGACAAGAGAGTATGAAAAGATACCAATCACTATGTGATGGCACGCATACAATAATCCAATGGCTGGAAACCCATAGTTCATTGGGTCACCACTATGATGGATAGTGAAGGAGAAAGTGGGATCCACCAGAACAGGGTATGACCCAAATGGTGGTGCCCTCAGTCTCAATAACTGTCCATTATTCCATTATTTCATTGGTTTAGCCCTACAATTCCCCCCTGTATAATCCTTTAAGGCTCATTTGGATGCCACCTAACATGCGTTTTGGTGCTATTGGCCCGGCTTTTTTAGGAAACAGCCAGAATGGGTTTTAGTGGCATATTTGAATGCCAAATTTTGCCCATGTTTACGTCTACAGGCCCCACTAAAGCACCACCGCTTTGTGAGTGAAACTTTAGAAAATACCAATTTTAATCCAAAATGCAAAAGCTTTTTGATGAAACTAAAAACGAAATTGACACAACTTAAGACATCAACCAGTCATGGCAAAACTAACCTTCAATAATTTGCCCAAAACACAGAATGCCTCATGTTGACAAAGTTCATTATCAGCCTAGACACCACCACCATGCAATGTATTAAGAATTTAAGATATGCAAACCACACAAACACAAGACAACAATGGTTATAAAAGAAAGAAACATGAATACTCCTGACACAATGTAGAGGAAATGAAACAACATTCTCATCCTCGTACCTCGAGAGCAGACTTGACATGATCAATTATCATATTTACACCATCTTCATCAGCTCCTCCAACAAGCGAGTATGCTAGCTGAAGCACCTTGAGCCTGCAAGTATGTGCCATATCCCAGTTCACTTGTGAGGTTAATGTCTCTTTCCCAAACCAAATACTGTTCATGCATACAGTTTTACAATTTTCAGATAATAAAATACCAGGTGTAATACTACTCCCAACATAAGCTGTTCCAGATAGCAGAGTAAAACTACAATATTATGCATTTATGAGAATTTAGGAATGATCAGTTGCTTGGTGGGTATTCCTCAAAAAAAAAAAAAAAAAAAAAAAATTAGTTTCTTGGCACGTAGGTTCGAAGGTTCTTTCATTCAGGTGCATGTTTTGAATAAATGATTCAGGCCTGGGACAGCTAAGGATTTCTTAGTAGATCATTTTACCGCACCTTATGAGCAAAGAGACGGTCCCTGATAGTGTCTTGGTCACTTCTCTAGCAGATCGCATACAACAACATATTATATGGAACAGTGGAGCTAATAAATTGCCAAAATAAAATATACCAGCTAGGGTACAACATGCAGGCATGCACAACATGATTTCATGTATTGGAGAACAATGCTCCAGAGAGAATGATAACCCTAATTGCAGAGCATGCCATTTTTAGGTATCCAATAACTTGAATAATACTGTGCTAAAATGGAATATAAAGAAAAAAAAATATCCCAGGCAAATTGGGCCAGACTTAACTAGGACAAGTGGCTGAGTGAACTAACTTCTGGCCTTGAAAAGACAAAATTTAATGATTAATTCTGTGAAATACATGCAAAAGTCACAAGGTTCAATGACATCCATATTAATCTCGCAAGCACAATCCGACAAACAAATATAAATTGTATCCCAACTCCATTCTCAATCCTTAAACTTCTGTTGAAGATAAGCAACAATTTACCTCTTTGATGGTACATCTTCTCCTGACTCTTTATGAATTGGTTTGGTAATAGAAACAATTGAACTATTGTTATCTTCAGCACCATCTGTGAGCTGAAACTTCTGTACAGATTGAACAAAAATCTTATTGACCTTTGAGCCATCCGTAATTGAAGCCAAGCACCCAATCACATCCTGAGACAACCAAGTTAACAAAAATAATTCGATAAGTCACTGCTGTAAACAAAAGAAGTGCTTTCTCAAAGAGATTTTCACTAAGAAAATACACATCAAAGATTACTAAGGGAGCTCATTTCAAGGGGCAAAATATTGATGTAAATCAGCCAATATCTAATAACCCCACATAAACTACACCATCCCCATGGACATGGATAACATCCAACATACTAACATAAGATAACAAATCCAAAGTATTCAGATATTTCCAAAATAAAAAATCACACAAATAGCTAATGAAGCAGCGCATAAATATATAGGGTACATAATGGCATAATAATTTTCTTTTTCTTTAAAAAAAATAAAAAGTATATAACAATATTAGGAATGAAAAATGGGTAAAGGATCCTAATCACTCAGTCCCACCGTAGTAAACTGCATTTTAGGGAGTGCATTTACATAAGCTTCTAGAGATAATGTCAATTATAAAGAACAAGGACCTTTCAAGTCTACTAGGAGATGATTTTGATCAATTATGCAATCAAATCCATTCAAGAATGCAAAAAAAAACTATGTCGGATGTAAGAAGAACCTTCAAACATGTGTTTTCTGCATGAGTGGACCTGAAAAGTAGACTAGAAAATGCCTCAATAAGATCCACAGAGAATGATGACAAAGCCTTGATATTTTTTGATGCACGCTTCTTTGTATACAAAAGCTTCACTCTCCTAACTTCCATGTGGAAGTCGTCCGATATGAATGAAATGGACTGACTTTGACTATCATTTGCTTTATGGATCGCATTAAGAATATCTTTGTTCTGGTTCACCAGTTTCTGCAAAACACAAAAAACATGAGAATGTTGAATACAATGATAGGACATCATGGTAAAACATGCATAAGATGAATTCCCATGCACATAACAGAATGGCGATAACTATTATCCAACAGAAATAAAACTAACCAGCAAAGCTAAGGCAATGATCTGATGAATATTTGGGTTCTGATTGAGGGCATCAAGCATTAACGTTGCCAACATTGTAAAACTTTGGTCTGTATCGACTGGATAATTACAGAATGAAGGTAGCAAATCCCATAGGCAATGGGTATAAGATTGCAGTTCTTGCACAAGAGATGACTTTGGAGCTGCAAAGAAAGAGTCTAAAATTGTTTAGAGCTGAAAGACAACAAAAAGCATAGAGCCAACGATAGAGGGGTATCATATCCTGAAAGATATACCTTTATGACTAATTTTTTGAAGAGAATTTGCAAGGGGAACTATATGCTCCACAAAAAATCTTAACGATGCTCCAATGGTATATTTCTTCAAGATGGGAATCAACCATTGGTTGGAAAATGACAGTTTTTCTTCATCTAGAGTAAGAGGTGTGATGGAAAGGATCATCTCCGGACCCATAGCTACGACAGCACATCCAATGCATGCATCCAGCTGAAAGATTATATTGAAATTAGATAACAGGAAATTCATTGGTTAGGGGAAGATGGAAGAAAGTTTCTTCACAAATGCTTCAAAGAATAAGCTAAACAAAAGCACAACCCACTCAGCATGCAAAATCTGATAGGCGATAAACCAAACAGATATGATGTGCACATAGTTTCCAAGTTAGACACATAAAGTTTAAACAGCAGAAGACAAGAAACAAACAAAACAAAGATCCACCAGATGCTTGTCATAGAAATCCAAAAAGAAGCCTTTATGAACTCCATAATGGTGGAATCGAAACGTGCAGCATATGCTTCATGTGTATGGAGTCATGAAGAGACACTGGACTACCTACTAATGCATAGCTCCTATTTTGCATTGATGTTACTTCCTGGATTGGTTTAAGAAGGGTTAAATGATGATAAATTCGGTAGGAAACCTTTCAGCTGTTGGTCCCAAAGACCATTCCGCAAGAGAGATTGTGTACTTTTGCTTTTAAAAGACACCACTTATGAAATTAGCATATACATCAAGTCAGACCAGGAGGTGTGGACCAGCATAGACTCGAAGGGAACTTACTCAAGAGAACGAAAAAAAATATCAGGCCCTCAACAAGTGAGTCCTCCAAAATCCAAAGTAAGCTAAGGAGTCTGCCAAGTTGTAAGCCAAACTCAGGACGTGTTGGTATGATTTGAGAAAATTGATAAAGAACAGTAAAATCAGTAAACCTCAGGCCAAAGACAAAAAATAATTAGAAGAAACCTTGGGTTTTCCCAGCCAGAGTTCCAAAAGCCTGGGGCTTTTCCTTCCTTTTTTATAAAATACAGTCATGTGAATGACTACTCAAGGGTCCCACATACGTCTTAAATAACGTTTATTTAATTTCTCAAGGACATTAATGTCCATACAATGAATAGAATGACCAAAAAGTCCTAACTTAATCACAAAATTTACTTACCCAAAAAAGCTTAATCATAAAATTTATAATGATAATTTTACCCTAAACAAAATATTCCACAAACACTAAGTATTTTTCTAAACAACTCCTAAAAATCCTAAAACTACAAACAAACAAAGAAAAACCTAAATCCATAAAAGACTAAGAAACCCCAAAAATAAACCATTAAATTAGACTTAAAATATACATCCATTGAAATTAAATAAAAATTAAAAATAAGAATAATTTTGTGCTGCATCAATTCCCCTAGTTGGAAAAACCTATCCTCAAGTTTTTAAGTAGGCTCAGATGAATCCAACATCAAAACTAGTTTCTTCTTTGTTAGCTCAAATATTATTCTTAGATGGATCCTAGTATTTATAGCAAGGCATTGATACAAATTTATCAAATTCGACTATCCCAAAAGTCGCTTTGAAAATTGAGTGGAAACTTCAAAGTAAATTTTCTAGCCTTTAGAGCCTTTCTCGACCTCTATTCCATTATTGACTGAATCCAGGGCTACAATTTTCAATTTATGAGTCGACCATGCTTCCTCTGTGCTACTCTGATTCCAATGCCATAAATCTCTTGAATGCTCAACCTTATTATTCTTGAGATCCTCAAAGGCCATCATTTTGATCAGTTTCCCTGCTGCATTCTCTCCACATTCTTCACGAGAAAAATCCTCTTCCAAAACATGATCATCTTTATCTTACTCCTTATCATAGATCGGATCTCCTAAGATATCTTGTTTTTCATCTGAGCGTGTATCGAAGATTGCTGGTGAATTGAATCTACATCCTGCTGATTTTGGATACAACCTGTGTCAAAAAAAAATATTGAAAACCCTAGAGTAATGTCCCCTACGTCAAAGTTTTTTATCACTTTCACTTTCCTCTTACTCGATTCTTCACGCGGAGTGCGGAGGTGAAGAGGGTTGTACTCAACAGCTTCTTGGGTAGAAAGATCATCATCTTGCCAATGAATGATGCTTGCAAGTAGTTGTGCAAGCTGTTGAACTTGCCTTCTGAAGTCCTCAATCGCATCATCTCTGAGATCACAAAGTGGATCTACAAAATACCCCTTCCACAGCCCCTTCTCGTTGTCATGGGTTCACCGAAACCACAAATCCTTGGCAGAGAATCAACAAAGCTTCGCTGAAATCAGAAAGATCTAAGCTGAATTGGCAAAACTCGGCCCAAAATCAATAAACCCTAGAAGTGGTTGTAATTTCCTGGCCCTGTTATTGAAGACACCTTACCAAGTTGATGTGGGAAAATTGATAGGGAACAGCAAAATCAGTAAACTTCAAGCCAAACACAAGCAATTATTAGAAGAAACCTAGGGTTTCTCCCCAAACACAGCTAGGGTTTGAAATGCCTGAGGCTTTTCCTTTCTTCTAAAATAGTCATGAGAATGACCACTCAAGGGCTCCCCACACTTTTTAAATAATGTTTATTTAATTGTTCAAGGACATTAAATTTTCATACCATGAATAAAATAACCCAAAAGTCCCATCTTAATCACAAAATTTGTAATGACAATTTTACCCCAGATTAAACAAAATATTCCATAACTTTTAAATTCTCTTTTATAAACCCTTAAAAATCCTAAAATAAAAAATAAAAAAAATAAAATAAAATAGAACACCTAAAACTTAAAAACTTTAAAAATAAAGCCTAAAATTTAAATTAAAATATATATCTTTTAAAATTAAATAAAATTAAAAACAAGAATAATTTTGTCTTGCATCATGGCAGGGAAGCTATCTATCAATGAGAGTCCATGTCCTCCGTAGTTTATGTGATTCTCCATGGAAAGGTTAAAAGAGAGGTCTTGTTGAGTTATTACCCCCTAGAGACTTTCTAGGGACTTTCTCACAGACTTACAAAAGTGGAGCACCATTTTAGCTAAATCAAATGGATACCACTTCTTTTGAACAAGAACTATAGCCAATGGCCCATCTCTCGGAGCTAGGATATAATGCAAAAATCATGATAACCAATATATATATAAGAGGTAAGTACATTCCAAAGTGACAACTGTTTACAATGTTAAATATTCTGAAAGCACTTCCAGTTCCAGTTTCCACTGAGTGCAAGCGATGTTTCTTCCCTCCATCAAAAGGAACTACCCAGCAATTGACAAAGAAATAATGCCCATGTTGTCTAGATTTGAGATTAATAGTGTCAATATTTACCTTCAACTCAGAAAGGTCAAAAGATTTAGGATCCGAGGAACCAATCCTAGGGAGGGAGTTCTCAATCACAGAGCGAGAAAAAAGGGAAGGCGTGATCATTTAGGGCTGAGCAAAAAGGTGCAAATGAACAAATGAGATTTTTAAACGACTGCATTCAACTGGATGCAATGAATTTTGCACCTTCAGAATTAAAATAATATGAACATAATCAAGAAAAAGCCACAAGTGAATTCCAAATACGAACCTTCAACATAGATTTTAATTTATTTCTGACATGTTTTGCAAAAATATATGTATATAGCCGACCCCAAATGGCTGGGAAAAGGTGCTGATGATGATGATGATGATGTGGTGCAAAATACAAAAAGAAATTCAAACAAGCAAAAACCAACATATAGAAATTATAGACTTCCACAAGCTTTTGCTATTAATGACTATTATAAAATGTTACGATGTAGGCCAGATGATTGTCATCCAAGTTATTTGTACCTGCATTTTGCAAGGTGCATCTTTATCAGTGCTTTTTTCGAACTTTGACAGCTTGATAAGGATTGCTTTCATCCAGATGAATGAAGATTCCGCTGCATAAAATAGAGGATTTACAAATCAAATTTTACAGCAGTCAATTATTGTGTATATTTACAGTCTACAAGATATTCAACCAATATATAAATTGATGAACATCTGTAAATAGGGCACAAAATAACAAAGAAATATATTAGAATAAAGGAAAACTTATGAATAAATCCCATTATAAGATCTAAAGATCACATATTTTTTACATTTTTGCAAACGTCCCACTTTTGTCCCTTTTTTTTTTTGTTTTTTTTGTGGGGGAGTTTTCTCCCCAAGTTACCCTTGTTTCAAACATTAGATGTCCAAACCCGGGTTTTTATTTTAAGTGTGAGAAGGGTTTGGACATTGGGTGTTGAAATCCCCTCTTTTATTTCCTTTGTAATTGGAAGATGAGTTTGGACATTGAGTATCCAAACCCATTTATTTTTTTCTTTTTTTTTGTAAGTGGGTCAGTTTTGACATTAGGTGTTTGGACATTAGATGTATGAATACATCTCCCACTTCAAAAAATGACAAGTGGGCAAGTATGGAAACCCAATGTTCGAGCTCCCCACTATAAAAATATATAAAAAAGAATGAGTTTAGACACCCAATATCTGAACCCATCTCCCACTTACAAAAAGAATAGAAGAGTGAATTCGGACACTCCATGTCCAAACCCATTTGCCACTTAAAAAAATTTAAGTGGGAGGTTTCGGACACCCAATGTACGAACTTACGACACAAAAAATAAGAAACAGAGCGGGTGTGGACATTGGCTTACAAAAAACAAATAAGTGGTTTCAGGCACCCAATAAGCAACCCATCTCCCATCCAAAAAAAAGTGAAATTTATGCAAATATTCCACAGAATTACTGTTATTTAAAAGTTCCCCTTCAAAAATATATATTTACGTTCATATCCATATTTTTCAAATTTTTTCCTTAATGTTTCTCAATAACCCTAGTTAGGTACTTCAAGGTCCTAAATATACAACTTAGGACCTCGAAGTACCTAAGTTATTTGATTCAATTTTTTCTTTTAACACATCTACTTTTTTTTCTCTGAGTCCTACGAATCCATACATCAGCCCCTCCTATTTCTTACATTTAATAGTAACAATTTCTTTCGCATTCATGTCTCACCCAAAAGAAATTTAGGACCTTGAAGGTCCTAAGTTCTTTAATTTAGGACCTTTGAGGTCCTAACTTGTGCTAGGAGCCACTCTATGGCCACTGAGGTGGCTCCTAAGTTCCAGAAGGAACTTAGGACATTCAAGGTCCTATTTTCTTTAATAGAACCTTCAAGGTCCTAAGTTACGCCATAAGCCACCCCATGACAGCCGGGGGTGGTTCCTAGGTTCCATAAGGAACCTAAGAACCACACTATGATAGCTATGCTGTAATTATGCTAGGAGCCACCCTATGATAGCTATGGTGTAATTATGCTAGGAGCCACCCTATGATAGCTATGGTGGCTCCTAGGTTCTAACAAGAACTTAGGACCATAAAGGTCCTAAATTACACCAGAAGGAACCACCCTATGATAGCTAGGGTAGGACCCTAAAGGTCCTAAATTACACCAGGAGCCACCCCATGACAGCCAGAGTGTCTCCTAGGCTCTAGAAGGAACTTAGGCTGAAGATTGTTTTGCTAACAATCTGAGAAACTTAGGACTTGAAGTTTGTAAAAAAATTTGAGACCTGGGAAGAAATAACAAGCAAGTCCCAGCGTTTGGTTTTAAATAAACATATATGTTTTTTAATAAACTTATGACCTTCAAAGTACTAACTTTGGAGGTCCTAAGGTTGTTGAAGATTGCTTTACTAACAATCCGAGAAACTTAAGACCTTTAAGCTCCTAAGTTTATACAAAAACAAATAAGTTTATTCAAAAACAAAACCTGGGATTTACCTGTTTCTTTGTCCCAAAAAAACCTTAGGACCTTCAAGCACCTAAGTTACGCTAGAAGCCAACCTATGACAACGTCACAGCAGGGGGATTGGCTCCAAGTTTCTAGACAGAACTTAGAACCTTAAAGGCCCTAAATTACACCACGAGCCACCCTATATGACAGCCGGGGTATCTCCTAGGAGGATTCCAAAAGGAACTTAGGACCTTGAAGGTTCTAGGTTTGTTGAAGATTGTTTTGTTGACACTCTAATAAACTTTAAATAAACAAGTGCTTTCCAAAGTTGAACTTTGGACCTTGAATGTCCGCCGTAGGGACAATTTGGACATTTTAGAAAATAATAGAAAAAAGGGGTATGAATGTAATAATGGAAACTATGAGTGAATTTCTAAATAATGGAAATTTATGGGCATCTTGGCATAAAATGTTAAACAAGCGATCTTTTATTTTTAAAACAGGATTGTGAAAGGGATAGATTTGCAAATTTCCCTCAAATGAAATAGCCAAAATTGAAAATTAATAAATAAAAATTGATGATTTATCCTCAAGAAAGCATACTTTACAAACACAAACGTCATGGCAAGATTAGACATAAATGTCACACTCAAGAAAATAACAATAGCCATGAAGACTAACATAGGTACAAATTCAAAAATAAAGTTCTAGAGCGTACCGCAAAAAACCTACTTTAGAATAGGAGAACAAAAATATTTTCCAGCAAGAACACAATTGTCAGTCAAGTGGCATAGGAAGCTAGATTTGGATTCTAATAACGAGCTAACACAACTATGTTAACAAGCAGCAAAGTAGGGACAAAATAAATAACTGTGATACCCAATAACCAACGCTTCATCTAGTTCTTCAGAAAGAAATAACACAAAAGCAGGAATATAACCGAACCACGATAAAGGAGAAATAAGGTAGCAGAATCATTGTTACATACTGGAAAAGCCATGAGATTCTAGCAGCCCAAAAGTGTTTATATTCAGTTATTTAAAAAAAAGGGAGAGAAAAAGGAGGACAAAAGATGCAAACCAAGCATAATAAATAGATCTGAAACGACTGCCAAGGTTGGAATATTGGGGGGCCCAGCACAAGCATCAAGAACACTCTCTATTGCAGAACACAAAGACTTTAACGTGGTTGACTCCTTTTGATTTAAGGCCTCTTTATCCGTTGTTAGATTCACTTCTCCCAGAAAACTACTTTGATTGACAATGAGCCCAGCCAACTCTCTAACAATCTCTGCTGCTTTCATGGAAACATTCTCATCTGGACCACTTAATTTACCTAATAATTCCAGAAAACATCAATTGGGAATAAGTTAGCAACTGTGTTTGATATATGGCAAGTTATCAACAAACTCACAGACGACATGGTAACTTAAATCAATTGGAAAGAACACAGCTGAGAATAACATTTTGTAGCTTCCAGATTTCTTTAATACAACTTCCTTCGGGTTTTAATAAATATTTCATACAGCTTAATTAATCAACCCAAACAACACTCATTTATGGCATAAATCAATGGGAGCATTGGTAATAGTTCAACAGTGAAACAATATAGTTTCTGCTAAAAGTAATTCATTATGAGCCTTATGGGTAGACTACATAAAAACTGAAAACACAGGATATAGAGAAAATCATTACGCATGAACAACATCGAATCAAAAAATGTTCTTAAGTAAATAACCAAAGCTTTGCATGAATGCGCTCAATTTTCATCTGATGTGAACTTGCGAAAAAAAGTTTGGAAGGAAGAAAGGCTGCAAATATAAGAGTACTGAAACAAGGCATTCACACTCATACCTGCCACTGAACTGAACACCTGAGGAAGCTTGGAAATCTCGACTTGTGGTTCCACAACATTGAGTTTGCTCAAGCCACTTCTCAGCAAAGATGATGCAGTTATGACAGTGTTGATAGGATTCTTCTTAATAGAACATATATATGATGCTAGGGAATCTAGAGTATGCTTTGTCTCTGAAGCAAAAGTTTCAGATCTTGAAGTAAATATAGCATCTAAAACATCAAAAAGGTGTCTTGTAATAGGTGTGAACCTATCAACCAGGAGGACATTCAACTCCAGTAAAAATTTTGAGATGACCTTTCCAGATAGCAGGGGGATAATAAGTTTCAAAGCATTCAGCATATGTAGGACCTCTAAAATCTTGTGCTTTTCCTCTTTTTCAGAAGTGCGGAAAGTGTCACTTTGAATCAGGTCCCTTGCCAATAGACGGTGGTGCTCAAACAATGATAAAACCTCTTTGCTTGCCTTCTTTGTAACACTGGAACTATCAAAAGATTTAAAGGCCTCCTCAACAAACATTAGTGCACTCTTTCTCACCTGTATATGGATGAAATGAGCAAGGAAAATTAGAGGACGAGCAAACTCTCTGTTAAAACTTTATATTGCCAAAATTCAAATTCAATTTATATCCCTGTGTTTCCTCTTCATTTCAACAATGAAGCAGATAAATAATTTATGCAGTTTGGCATGTACATTTCAGTTCCCCATAAATATACTATTCGATCCTTGTTTTCTGCAACTACCATGACAAAGCATAGAACCCTAAACAAGAAATCATAGAAAACAAAAATGAGAGAACAAAGACACCAGAACTAAATGCAGCTTGGAATATGGATTTCAGTTTCCTACTATTATGATTTCCAATTTTATGACATAAAGGGCCCCATTTTCCTATAAAATCTTTGTGTCCAATAACTGCCATGAGTAACAAGAGTCCAGAAATCAAATTACAGAAAACAAAATTAAGGAAAACAACACAAACCAGTAGAAAAAGTTAGAGAGAGAAGAAATTGAAAACTTTGCAGGTACATAAGCATCGAATTCTAAGAACTAAGAACTGAACAAAATAATAGAAGACAAAGAACGAAATTTGATATAACAAGTCATGCTTTTCTCCTTGAAGTCACCACCATGAACTCTTGAACTAAAATTACAGGAAACAAAAAATAGCAACCCACCATGAAGGATAATTATTGGGAAGGAGAAGAAGCAGAGCTGCGCTTTGCATGCACAAGACCATTAAAATAGAAGACTTCTACCATCATAAAACCATCAAAGACTAAGAACCCTACTACAATCACATAACAAAGCGAGAGCATGGACAACAAAAAGCAAAGGGACCCATACCTTGGGTCTTTTATCAAGTGAAAACGAGAGCAAACTCTTACACAAAGGCCCAATTGATCCCCAACTCGAGCGATCACAAGCTCTAGCCAACAACCCAACGCACTTAACCAGAGACCTAACAGTCGAAGTCGACAACCCCTCTCCCCCAGCTATCTCTGCAAGCAAAGTCCCCGCCTCCTTGGCCCTAATTTCACTGAGTCCCTTCACGGAGGGTATAATGGAAGCAAGTAGAGTAGAGAGAGCTGTCATGGCTTCAGGGTCTCGTGCTCGGCCTGAGATGGCGGCCATGGAAGAGGCGAAGTAGGAGAGGGGAGAGAGGGGGAGGCCTTCTTCTCGGGTTAGTGCACGTATGGCTTGGGCCATGGCGCATAAATGGCGGTGCTGAGGGGCCGAGGAGTTGGCGAAGCGCCTGGTTATGGCGTCGCATACGTCGTCTTCTTCTTCTATGGAGAGTGGCGCGTCGTGGCTCGGTGATGGCTCGGTGTGGGCGCCCATCGTGGCCTGCGCGCGTCGTAGGGTTGGAAAGCGGGAGATTGGATTTGCAGTGGCGGGGTCTCGTTCTTGAGGGGAGGGCTTTGAAGCCTCACTCTCTTCTCTACAAATATTTATTGAGCATGTTATATGAAAGCAGAGGTCTTCCACGATCAAGGGGAAGTACAATAACCTTTCCCTATTTTCAAGCTTTATATTCCTCTTTACACCATAAAATTTATACACTTTTCATTATCCAATCGTCCATTCTGAATCGAGGGTTAGGATTGTGGCAATTACAATTTCATGTCTTTGTGTTATTTTATTTTTAATTATTTTTTATAAATTATATTTAACACCAAATTTTGTATCTTCGGTCTTGAACCACCTTCCTTCCCATTAACCAGCCGAGCGGCCCGTCTTTGATTTGATTCTTCTCGAAGAAAGCAGGGAAGAAGAGGGTTCTCCCTCTTCATTCACCGTCCTCTTGAAGAACTCCAGCATTATGGTAGTAGAGTAGCCGATCTGATCTCGCGTATGGGCGGATAGAAATGACGGGTGAGGGTAGCTTGCCTCGCCGACGGGCGGAGGATAGCTTGCCAGCAAAGGATGTATGGTAGTGTTTTGTTTGATGAGAACAGGTTGACTGCAACGTTTTTTCACTGCGCAACTGGAGGGAGACAGCACGGGCTTTTTGCTCTATTAAGCTCGCACTAACGAAAAATATAAAAACAAATATTTCTAATCAAATAAAATGACCAAAATACCTTTGAAAGATTCAAGGGGTCTTTTGGTCATTATATTTTATCAAAAAATTATTTTTAATATTTTTTATAGGTACGCTCGAATGAGAAGATGACACGTACCAAATTTCATATTCATATAATTTGTATAAAAAAAATATTAAAAAAAAAATACATTGAGACATCGATCTAAGATCAAATAGTGAGTGACTCTTTTGATCAAAATTGGACAGCTGGATGGTAAGGGAAGCATAATTTTTTTATATTGTAGGGGAAGTATAAAAACCTTTCCCTTTCTTAAACCCCAGTAAATATCATAATTGTGTACCTTACCTTTTTTTTCTTTTTTTCTTTCTTTCTTTTTTTTTTTTAGTATTGAAGGATACGGTTTTGTATAGAGCCCAATATCTAAACAATAAAAGTAAAGCACACCTTCAAATGGTATTAAGAAATGTGGTTTAAATACTAAAAATCTTTGTGATAGCCTTAAAATATTTTTTATCTCTAATTATAAAATTTCAAATTCAAAAAATAGTGTAAATCGAGCAAATCTATAAAAAATCTTAAAAACCGGCAATCCAAAAATGTATTACAAGATGCACTATTTCCAAAACTTGAAATCTATTTTTCTCTCATGTTCATGCATCTTGATATTGACATCATACTTAACAAGTCAGGGAGTATCAATATATCGGCTCACTATAGATCGTTTTTATTTTAAAAAATCGGATAAAAAATACGGATCGGCAAAAATGCTTTATGTAAAGATATCGCAAATATATTGGACTAGGCTAAAAAATTCAAAGTGAAAATAACGGATAGGTTAACTATGCTAACTATGCACCAAACTAATTATTTAGTCATGTTAATTTGAATTCCAATTCAAAGCTTGTGCCATACTAACCATTTAGTCATGTAATTCAAAGCTTGTGCGTGTGCACCATAGTAACTATTTGGTCATGTTGATGAATTCCAAATCCAAAGGTTGTGCATGTTTCTTTTAGGTACTTACCCATTTACCCATGATATGTGTTGTACTTACCCAAACAGCTAAATATCATTTTCTATACTTGCCCAAAAAGCTATACTTTTTAATAGAAAAAATGGAGCAGGGACAGAGAAGAGAGAAGTGGTTGCAGATAAATAAACAGAGAGAGAAATGAACACAAAAGAGAGAAGGGGGGTGACCACAGATCTCTCAGAGATGAGCACTGAAGAGAAGGCACAAACACAGGCACGTGCAGAGGTTTTTTCAGATGGTGTTGTCTTTTGAAGCAGATGGTGAACTTGTTTGTAAAGAAAATCAGATGGGTACGTTGCGCAGAACTCAAATGGTGTTGTCTTTTTGAAGCCAACGGATTGTTGAATCAGGTTTAGGGAAAACCCTAATTTTTTTCCTAATTTATTTTGCCTCAATGTAATATTCTTTGAACTATGTTAAATTTGGGGATGTTTTAGCTATGTTAAATTTGAGGAATTTTTATAGTTAATGTTGAATATGTGCTTTGAAAGTTCTCTCTATCATACTGTTCTCTTTTTTCCCTAATTTATCTTTCCCTAATTTTTTTAAGATGTTAAATTTGGGGATTTTTGATAATTATCTCTATCTATGTTTTTCCCTAATGTCTGTTCTCCTAATTTCTTTGAGATGGTTCTCTATCAGTGGTTGTCTTTCTCTCTCTGTATTGGAGCTTGATATCGAGATATAAAGAATGATTGATAACTAGTAAATAAATTTCCTAATCTATTTTCCCCTAATTTCTCTATATGAGTGGTTCTCTTTACCCTTGTGTGTGTATTGGAACTTTATATTGAGCACTATAAATAGGGATTAATACCTAGTAAATAAATCATAAATAAAATGTGATATTAAATGAGATTTAAATCAAAAATAAAAATAAACTAGTGGTCAACACACTATGAAGCTGCCATACAATAAAGACTATAAATCTCTGTGAGCATTCAGTGATTTTCTACAATAAATCAGCAGCATGTACAATGAGCCCGTTTTAGGATTAAAAAGAAAAAAGGAAAGAAATAAAAGCAGGAAAAAGGTAAAATGAACTTTTTTTTTAATGTATAAAAATGAACTTTTATAAAACAGGAAAAAGGTAAATAAACATTCCAAAAAAATAATAATAAGATGTTATTAATACTAAAAAAATTTTTGGAACGATTTATTGTAAATATCAAAAAATCGCATTTGAAACTTCTTCATTAAAAAAAGCGATTTTTTGACGCTCTTTTGAATAATATGCAGATGAAAACGATTTTAAAAAAAAAACTCTGAATTTTTTAAAAAATCACATTTAATACGGCGATTTGTTAACTATGGTCGAGATTATCAATTTGAGGATATTTAGGTATCAAAACAACCTCTTTTAGTGAAGTGAACTTTTTGAGGTACGCTCTAATCTAATTGTTTGGAGCCTCAGCTCTATATAAATTTTTTCGTATCTCAAAACTTGTAGAAAATTGTAGTTTAATTTTTAAAAACTTTCAAATCAATCATCTCAACACTAGGATGGGCCAAAGAATCAGCGAGTCAACCAGTTGGATTTAGAATTTTTAGAATTTCAAGTGCACTTCATGTAATAGAAACGGGGTACTATTTTAAGAATTTATTAAAAAGAAGATCCAACTAAAACGGAACAATACATATTTAGTTTAAATCAAATTTCATGTTTATTTAAGGTTATCATATTTTTTTGTTTTCAATTACTCGGTGTTTAGTGCTTTAGTTTGAAAAAAAGCTTGTATAAGGTTGCACCTCCAAAAAAATTATGGAAAGAACATTATGCAGTTGAAAAACCCTATGATTAATCATTTCAACCTCAAGATGTATGGATGTAAAGAAAAAAGAATTTCAAGTCATAAAAATAGTGCATCTTGAAACAAACTATCTAGACCATCTATTTTCAAGATTTTTCAGTGTTTTTAAATCTATCATTTTTCAATCCTTGCAAGCCTTCTATACCAAAACTACATCTTCCTAATACTAGAACTACATCATCGTTATCATCATTATAGCATTTTCCTAATAATACTAGAACATCTGTCTATAAAATTTAGAGGTGCGCCTTACAAAAAGATTACAAAACTTTAAATTTTTTTTGTAAAAAATATAGTTAAACTTTAATTCTTTTTACCTTATTGATACCCAGGTCGAATTAGTCATGATGGGACAGCCAGTGCCATGTCCTTGAACTCAAATTTGCTATACTACATTTAAAAAAGGGTGCAATTTGCATACGGATGCATCCATAGGTGTAGAGGTAAGGTGCACATTCAAATTTTATCATGGTATATAATTTTGATGTAAAATGTTATTAGGATTATCTCAAAATCTATTTTTATATCTAATTATAAAATTTTAAATTTAAAAAATGGTTAAAATCAAGTAGATCTATAAACATATGAAAATCTTGAAAATAGACAGTGTCGATAATATGATGTTAAATGCACTATTTTTTAGACTTAAAATCTTTTTATTTTTCATAGTCATACATCTCGATGTCGGATGATCAATCAAAGGGTTTTTCAACATTAAAATTATCTTTTCCAATGGATTTTTGAGGGGCATCTGTAGTTCTACATTATAAGTGTATCTGTTGCCCTATCGCAAGGTGGTGGCCAAAAAACAGGCGAAGAAAACTAGGACCAGGTTTGATCCTTTGTTGGTAGATCCTCTAGCCATTGTCCAGGTGGAGCCTGAGGAACAACCATTGGAAGCTTTGCCTCCTGTTGAAGAGGTGCCTAGTTCACAACTTTTGGACTCGGGGCTTGCTTTGACTAGTTCTGAGGTACTGATGCCTTTAGAGGCTCTTCCACAGATGGAGGCACGCAGTTGCTCTTACAGGGTCCAAGTTCTGATGCAGCACAATGGGGTAATAACAAAAAGGAGCCTATCTCTGTTCAGCCGCTAATGGATGCACCCCACAGTTGCCCAAGATGCTGGATGACATGGGAATTGATGAAGTGCCACTCAGGGTAGTTTTGGATGAAATCAAGGAGCAGAGGAGAACAAGGGTTGTCTGTAAGAAAGCCCCGAGTATTGGTAAGGCACCGACAGCGGTCTCTCCGGCCAAATCTTCGTCGGCGGCAAAGAAGAAGAAGTATGCGAAAGCGGGTACTTGCTATTTTGCACGTCTCGAGGCCAGGAGCATACTCAAGAAAGGACTAGCAACTGCACTACCCTTTGGAGATCCGATTGTTGTTGATTTGTGTTCCTCCTCTTCGAGCTCTACATCTAGGGATGATGATCTCAATGAAGCCGTGCTGCTGGAAGAGCTTTACTTCGATGCTGGCCCTGATGGTCCTGGAGGTTGTTCCTCTACCCCACCCACTCTTTGATTTATGAATTTCTTATCCTGGAATGTTAGGGGTCTGAGTGACCCCAGAAAGAAAAATAACGTTTTGGTTTTTAGTGTCTAAGTTCAAATCCATACTTTTGCTCTTACAGGAAACTAAATTACCTAGCCCTACTGTTTCAGCCGCTAGGGAAGTTTGGGGTTCTGGTGCCATGGGTTTTGTGGTATTGATGCAGTTGGTGCATCAGGGGGCTTATGGGTCCTGTGGGATCCTCTGATTTTGCATAATTTTGAAATTATTAGTAAGGATAGATTTTTACTGGTGGGTTTTATTGGTCCTAAACCGGGCTTTTCTTGGGGCTTTATAAATGTATGTGGACTGTATGTTCTAGCTCTTAAAGAAGCTTTCATGGATGAGATGAATGATGTTTCTTTTCTTTTCCAGTAGTGGTGGTGGGGGGTGTGGGGGAGAGATTTTAACCTTATTCAATTACCAGATGAGTGTTTAGCATGCACCTCAATAAACACCTCAATGAGAAGGTTTAATAGATTTATTGAAAGCAATGCTTTTATGGACCTTCCTATTATTGGATCAAAATTTACTTAGTCTAATAATAATGTTAACAATTTGGCCATGTCCAAAGTAGATCGGTTTTTGGTGTCCATGGAATGGCTGGAGGAATTCCCTTTAGCATCTGTTAAATCTCTTATGAGACTTTCCTCTTACCACTTCCCAATTATGCTCTCAACACATTACAAGGGGTGGTACGAAACCTTTCAGACTTGATTTGGCGTAGCTAGCATAGGATAGGGTTATGGAGTTCATCAGAAGAACATGGATAAATACCATAGTGGAGGGTTTTGTGGACTACCAAGTACACCAGAAATTGGTACGTATTAAACATAAGTTGATTGTTTGGAAGAAAGATAATAATTTTGATATCACAAAAAAAATTGATGGGGTTCTACATGATATCGAAGGGATATCGAAGGGATAGACCAAAGTGTTCAAGAGGATGGTGTCTTGACTGATCAGTCCATTTTACATCGAAGTATTAAACTGAATGAGTTGAATAATCTTTGATGGGTTGAGGAGTTATACTGAAGATAGAGGTCTCGTTCTAAGTGGCTTAAAGAATGAGACTTCAATACCAAATTTTTTCATGCTTTTCCTAACTCTAGAAGAAGACAAAACGCTATTTCTGGATTAGTCATCCCTGGGGTGGATTCAGAAAATGATAACACGATGGAGTTAGCAATAATAAGCCATTTTAAGAATATTTTTACCAAAGAAGTGCGATTTACACCAAAATTTGGGAGAGTACCTTCTAAGGTGCTTCCAAATGCTATGAAGAGGCAATTGGAGCATGAGGTTACTATTCAGGAGATACATAAGGTGGTCTTTGCGTTGTCAGGTGATAAAACACCTAGACCAGATGGCTTTCTTTTAATTTTTTTTCACTAGTGTTGGAACTTGGTTAAAGATGATCTTCTGCATTTGATTAGGGGCTTTATGATTTCTTGATATATTTTTAGAGGTATTAATTCTACTTTTCTGGCTTTGATCTCCAAAAAATAAGTTATTTAATAAATATCTGATATTAGACCTATCAGTCTACTTACTAGCCTCTACAAGATCATTGTCAAGGTGTTGACTGAAAGACTGAAAGTGGTTATGCCTCTTCTCATATCGAGCACACAAATAGCTTTTATTAAGGACTGCTAAATTACTGAAAGTCTGCTTATTGCACAAGAGTGCATTCACTCTCGAGTGATCTGTAAAAAGCCTGGGGTGATGTTAAAGTTAAACATGGAAAAAGAGTACGATAGAGTTGAGTGGGGGGCATTATTAGAAATTATGAAAATAATGGGCTTTGGAAACAGATGGAGGAGTTGGATTTATGGTTGTTTGTTATCCACGTATTTTTCAGTGATTTTCAAAGGGAGTCCTATTGGTTTCTTTAATGCCTCTAGGGGACTGCGTCAAGGGGATCCGCTACTTCCATTTTTATTTATCATTTATGCTGAATGTTTCATCTTAATGTTGAGTAATGTGGAAAGAGTGTGACATTTTGCAGGTTTTAAGATTCAGGACTCAAATATTTCCATTTCACATTTGCAATATGCTAATAACACTCTTATTTTTGTGACGTGGACCCCCTTCATATTAAGAACATTGCTCGGTTCCTATAATGTTGTAAGGTTACTTTGGGTTTAAAAGTTAATTTCCACAAGTCCTTATTGGTTGGCATTAATTGTTCACAAGGGATGGTGGATCATCTTGCAGCCACTATGGGTTGTAAAGTTGGTTCCTTTCTGGTTATTTATCTTGGAATGCCTATTTCGGATTTGAGACTCTCTTTGGCTGTCTTGGTTAAGGTGAATGAGAGAGTCCAACTTAAACTTGACTTATGGAAGCCGAAGTATTTGTCTTTAAGAGGGCGAGTAACGTTGTTGCGGTCTTGTTTGGCTAACCTCCCTGTATACCAAATGTCGTTGGTCAATATTCCTGTTTCAGTTGCTAGAAAATTGAAAAAATGATGCGGGAATTCTTTTGGGGCTCTTTTGGGGAGTTGCCAAAATTCCATCTGTTAAGGTGTGATAGAGTTTGTACCTCAAAGCGAGAAGGAGGTTTGGGAGTTCGGAAGATTAAAACGTTCAACCAAGCTCTTCTTTGCAAGTGGTGGTGGCCAAGCCTTAATTTGACGGATCATCTTTGGTACCAGGTTCTATTGTCTAAGTATGAAATGGATAGATTGCAGTTGTGGATTGGGGGTGGTAGGGAAAGAATACCTCTCATCTTTGGAGAACTATTTCTAGTTGTAGGCCAATGATTTCAGGATACTTCAGAGGGAATATTGGAAGTGGTTCTCAAGTTTTATTTTGGCATCATAAGTGACCTAGAGATTACCCGTTGAAGGCTTTATTTCCTAATCTTTTTAGGCTTGTTACTATGCTTAACCTAAAAGTTAGTGATGCATTGGAGAGGAGGGGCCAAGATAGCTCGTGGAACATAAATTTAGCTTACAACGGTTGAGCAATGTACTGCTAGCTCAATGCTGCCAACTGATGGAGATGTTAGATAAAATGTATTTGTCTCAACAAGCTGATGATGAGATGATTTGAGAGATTGAGAGTGATGGCATTTTTTCGATCAAATCGTGTTATAATCTTACCTTCCATGACCGATGAAGATGGTCTTGCACTTTTTTAGCTCAAATTTGGAAATGGTAGATTTTACACGAAGTTCAAGTCTTCATCTGGTTGACGGCTCAGGATAGAGTTCTAACTATTGATAATCTGATTAAAAGGAGGAAAATTCTTCCAAATGTGTGCCTGCTTTGTAAGGCGGATGGAGAGAGTGGTGTGCATCTTTTTATACATTGCCCTTTTACTCTGCGTATTTGGTACTGGCTGTTTGAGATGGTTGGGATACAAGTGGTGCTCCCTCAAAATGTGGTTGGTGTCGTTTCTTCCTTGAAAGCTCCATTTTTGCGAAAGATGGGTCGAATACTATGGAAGATTGCAGTAGCAGCTATTCTATGGGAGGTTTGGAAAGAAATGAATAGGAGGACCTTTGAAGGGGAGGTTGTCCCCTTTGTCAAACTTATCCATATTGTTGGTGACAAAGAAGGGAAAGGGGATTTCAAAAGTGGATGTGGGTCTGGTGGGTCGAGACGACGATGCATTTGGAAGGCTCCGAGTTCAGGTACATTGAAGCTTAATTTTGATGGAAGTTCTCTTGGCAACCTAGGGTTAGCAGGAATTGGGGTGTGGGGGTTGCTCCATGATTGTTTTGGCAATGTAATTTTTACATATGCTAGCCCGATAGGTGTGGTTACGGCTAATTGTGCTGAATTGAGTGCTTTGCTTTGTGGGTTGAAGATTTTTACTTCTAGGAATTTGGGCAATAGTTGTATGTTTGAAAGGGACTCTCTTAATGTTATTAAATGGTGTAACTTGGAATAGTGGGTCCCGTGGGAACTTTGATCTATATAGTTGCAGGTGATGGATATTGCAGCATTAGTATCGGTTTCTTTTTGTCATGTATACCGTGAGGCCAATTATATTGCCAATTCTTCAGCAAAGGGTGGAGCTTCATTACGGTTTCTTATTGTCTCTGATGATGTAATTTCCTTTGAGTAGCAATCAATAAATTTAGTACTCTTGGTCAAAAAAAAGAAAAAAGAAGGTAGCATCCTTATATAAACTTTTTCTTTTAAAACGAATAGGGATTTCTAAGTAAATATCTCCTATATTTTCGTAGAATTTTAAAAAGGAAAAGGTTTATATAGAGCCAAGGCTCTAAACAATCAAATTAAAGCCCACCTAAAAAATTTCCCTAAAAGAGGCTGTTTTGATGCTCAAATATCCTCAAATTGATCATATTGGCATCAAGATGCGTGGACATAAGAAAAAAATTGATTTCAAGTTTTGGAAATAATATATCTTGTAACACATTTTTGGACAATCAATTTTCAAGATTTTCAAGTTTTCATAGATATGCTCGATCTATAGTATTTTTTAAGCTTTAAATTTTATAATTAAAGATGAAAATGAATTTTAAGACTATTACAAAGATTTTCAATATTGAAACCACATTTCTCAATACTATTTGAAGGTGCGCTTTACTCTGAATGTTTAGAGCCTGGGTTCTATACAAACCACACCTTTTCAAAAATACCCCTTATATTTTATATTCGCATCCCACTTTTCAAGTGCTCGTCTGATATTTCAATTTTACCTTTTTTTTATAAATTAAATTGCATTTAAAATTTGGGAATCCATAGTTCTCACCATCATCCATCTGTAAAAATATAAAAAATAATTAAATAAAAATTAACATGACATATAAGTTTATAAGATATTTTGGTTATTTTAATAATTTTATATATTTAGAATTATTATTTTTATATTTTTTTATGGTGAAAAGTATAGACCTTCAAAATTTGAGCTTAACCTAACGTATAGACAAAATTAAAATAAAAATAAGATACATCCTCTAAAAAAAAAACAGACTTGGAATATAAAGACAATTTTCAAATGAAAAATGGTTTGATAGGGCGCACCCTGCACGCCGTCCATCAATTTGGACGGTGCACATCTTTAACGCGGGTGAATGGGAGAAAGCCGGGCACCCATAGCCCCGGTTATCATTGCATTTTGAAAGTTTTTATCTTTTTTATTTTATTTTTGTTCTTAAAAACCATGTAGCCTCCCACTGAATTGCTCAAGCTCTCCACTCTTTATCTCCTATCTGGTTCACTCTTTGCCTCCCTCCTCTTTAGATCCCTCTATGATCTCCTTTAAAAATCTGGTTCTCTCTTTGCCTCCCTCCCCTTTAGATTCCTCAATGATCTCCTTTAAAAATCTGTTTTTCTCTTTGCCTCCCTCCCCTTTAGATCCCTCGATGATCTCCTTAAAAAATCAAACCATGTATTTCAATTTGCACCTAATTCATTGGTACTGTTAATTTTCTCTCTACATACTTCTCCATCTCCGTACTTTTTTCACTGCTGCTATAGCAGCAAAACACAACCTTTCTCTCCTTAAAACCCACTTTCTGATTATGTTTCTAGGAATCTTTTTTTTTCTTCCATAGGATGACTTAATGCTCAGCAAAACATTGTATTCGCCAATATTACAAGAGAAAAAACAAGTAGTAATTCTGATAATTCATGCGAGCAAAAAGAGCATGGAAAAGCATGTGATTTTCAGTGAGAATCACAAAGCATGATCTCAGAACAGTAGGCAATAACCCCACATCCTTAAGCTCCATTCAAGAATTTTGGATCATTTGTTCCTAGCCAATAACCCATACGACACAGGGGAGACCATCAGATCTGTTGGGCTCCTTTACACAGAGAGAGGCGTAGAAGTTGTTTACAAATAACCTAGATAGTCTTCTCTCTCACAAAGAATCAAACAGTTGATAGAGCTTCCAGCTGTTTGGAAATTAAGTTTCTTTCTAAAATTTCATTTATGCAAATTTCAAGTTTCTCTCTCTAGAGCTCTTTTCCATTGGAAAATTGAGAGAGAGAGAGAGAGAGGTGATTTGGGAGAGGGGAGAATTAGGGATACACTGAAGAGCGACAGAGGGTGCAGGCATTTCGTGATGGATTTGAGGAAGAGGGTGGTAGAGACAGGAGGTGGATGAGTTAGAGAGAGAAGGAAAAGGGCATAGAAAGGTTGATGCCTTAAGAGAGAGAAGGAAAGGGCATTTGGGAAAGTACAAACAATACCGGGAGTCCCGTAGGTTTTTTTTGTTGGGTAGCGTGAAGGATCTGCACCGTCCGTTTAGATAAACGGTGCAGAGAGCTGCAGCCCGAGTCCTTTTCCAACCCAATAAAAAGGGCTGCAGCCCGAGTCCTTTTCCAACCCAATAAAAAGGGCTGCAGCCCTATAGAAACCGCATCCTTTTTAAATTCTACAAAACATAGGAGATATTTACATAAAATAATAATGGGTATCTGTAAACAACCAAAGGCAACGTTTCTGGTGAAATGGAAAACATGTTCTTTTTCATCTTTCCTGTGTCATTTCAGCTGTTCAGTAAGGGCTCACATATGACATAACCCAATGTCTTTGTGCACACCTAATTCAAGGTTAAGAAAAGAAATAGAACCAAAAGGAGAGATTTTACAAACCTTGACCCCAATCCAAAAATAAAAATCCCTATCTCAAAAACTAAAACTCTAATATGGCATGCAACGCAAAAGCATCTCATTATTTCTTCTTTTTGCCCCCCTTTACCGACTTCGATGGTCCTGCATTTGAAGTTGAAGAGGGATTTTCTTGTTTCTTGGTCCTCCCATGATGTCTAGGTACCAGCTCTGCAACCTGTAGCATCAGCTCTTTCCCTGAAATACAAACACAAAGACAAACACGAGGCAGTTGCCAGTTACTACCCTCATGTATGGTCAATAAATAAGTACGTAATTTCCACAGCCATCAAAATAACCTTCATTTTCCTTCCAAATAGTGAAAAAGGAAAAATCAAATAACCAGAACTCCATCAATTCTTTGTAAGAATTGATGATCCAAATATGCAACGGTTATTTAAAAAATTAAGATAAATCTGTTACAGGACAATAAACTATGGGATTTCTCCCCAAAGAACACGTGGGATCGCTTTACAAGCCATCCTTCCCTCCCTCCCGCTCTACAAAAATGCAGAATCAGATACATTGCATGTTTATTTTGTGAAAGAATGAACACAGGTCAAAAGGCTCCACATTCTTGGTGGGAGAGTGTGCATACATTTGAAAGGGATCAGCCCCAAGACCTACAGGCCCCGGGATAAAGAATGTAGCCCCCATAGGAGACTTGGTCTTCTAAATCTTGAGCAATGTATTACCGAAAACAAACAGGAGTATACAATGAAGGCCCAAAATGGTAACAACCAGATGCTCAACTTCTACAATGGTTTTTAATACTTTAAAAAAAGCACATGAAGTGGCGGATACTGTCACGACCAGTGTTTAAAAATTGGGATTCTGGCACAGATTCACCCAAGTCATCTTGCTGAGTCCAGATGAGAAAGACCGAAACTCATGCAAGTCTCACAAGTCCCAGTCCCCCGATGTATTTACCCAGAGATGCAGCAGAGTCAGAGTCCGACAGCCTACTTCGACGTGTCTGTGCTGACATCAGGCTCAGGACCGTGGTGAGTTGGAACCTGAGCCTGAATCCTTGTTTTCGAACACTAGTCACAGCTTTTTGTAGACCATTAGACAGTCCAAATCACCTCAAAACAATATCAGATTACAATTTCAACACATGAAGCAGCAAAATCTGCGACTCCCCATAAAATTGAAAGGGCCTCAAATAAACCACTTTCACAATAAGAGAGGATCAGCAGGTGAAATTCAATCCTAAAAATATTTTTGAGGAAAATTGAAATTACATTTCAAATAGCGTTTAGGAAATATGAATGATCCATATAAAGCGGATAGAGCATACTAACTCTAAGGAGGACCGAGGACCACATAAATTACATCCAAAAGCCCGTTCTCCTTCATCTCCAACAGATTATGTGGCTCCTCACCATAACTAAATAAAAAGCCATTCCCCATGTTTGTGTTACTTATTACTTAATAATTAATGAAAAAATAACCATTAATTGATTAGATGGGTGATGCATAAATCAAGTTTCATTAGAGTAGAGAGAGAGAAAATAATTGCATAAACAACAAGTGGAGTGAATAAATAGATAAAAAGAAAGAGGAAAAAGCCAAACAAGGTTAACCCCATGGGATGGAGTCTCCTAATAACCCCAAAGCCCATCAATGCAGGCAGGCCATGGTAGAATTGCAATCAAGATAGGTCCTTAGTCCTTACAAAGGCCTTGAGAATCCCACCAAAGTTGTATTTTAAATAAAGATCCCTACTTTGAAGTTTGAACTACCTTAGAGACAAGAATACATAAAAATCAAGCTTTAAGAAGCTCAGTGCACAAGTTGTTCTTCCCAAATGTAGTACCTTACTGCTGCTTTCGTAGAGTCCTTCAAATATAGTATAATCCTTCATCTTCATTGACACTTATGACTTGATTTTGGCAGAAAAAGCTGTCTTTGTGCAGAACCCATCTGTCCTGTAGCTATGACACTTCCCTTCTTTTCACCATAGGATGGAAAAATCAGATTGCCTTTAAGCACCATAACTGTCGTGCTTGTTGAACAACCACGATCCATTCGCCATGGCTAAGACACGTAACCGACCATAACTCCTCAAATAGAAACTACAAAACTAAAATGAAATAATTACAGTCTTAGTGCCTTATTTGTTTTCTTTTACACCGCCTTGTTCATTATCACCCTAATCCATTGTGTTGACATAATGTCCCGCTCAAAAAGGGGCAGCTTCCTCCTCTCTTCAAAATTTCCTCTATGATGTACATTAATCTCCAAGAGTGTTCCGTTCCTTTGTGAGCTCAATTGTGACATGCAGAGAATCCCCTACACTATTAAGGGCCTTAAGAAAAGCAGGGGACAACACCTTAAAGCCCATCAGTGATGGCAGGCCCTGGAAGAATTGCAATCAAGACAAGTCCTCACAAAGGCCTTGAGAATCCCATTGAAGTTGTATTTGAAAGGGAAAATTATGGATACCCCCTGAAATGCATTTTATAGACATTCCACCCCCCAATATTTTTAGTATCACACCCATAACCCCATTACTGTTTTTTCTTGTTTTTATCCTCCCCGCCCCCACCTTCCCCCCTCCCCAATTAGAAAAGTTAATGTTTTAAAAAGTAAACTACCATCACTCTACCCGTTAAAACTCTCTCTACTCGCACTATCTTTCTGCCCAATAGCACTCTCTCACTCTCTCTCTCTCTCTCTCTTGTGTTGAAACAATGTCATCCAAAACAAAAGTGTACCGGATCGGCTTTTAGCTTCTAGAAATCCAAAAGCCTTGTGACCGGTCAGACACACTTTTGTGCTAGACCGAAGCAAAAAAAAAGTGGTCCAGCACAAAAGTGGGCCAGACCAGCTTTTGGAATTGCAAAAGCCTTGTGGCCAGCCCAGCACATTTTTGTGCCGGACAACATTTTTTCAATGTGAGAGAGAGTAAGAGATTGATATCGGGGGGGAGGAGAGAGAGAGAGAAAGAAAGAGTTTTAATAGGGGAGGCGAAGGGTAGTTTCGTCTTTAAAACATTAACTTTTTTATTTTTGGGGGGGGGTTAATAAAAGCAATAACTAGGTTATGGGAGTGATGCTAAAAGTATTGTGGGGTAAAATGCCTACAAAGTACATTTTAGGGGATATCCATAATTTTCCCTATTTGAAATAAAGATCTGTTAAACTACCCGAGAGATCAGCTGACATAAAAATCAAGCCTTAAGAAGCCCAACACGCAAGTTGTTGTTCCCAAAGGTTAGTACCTTACTGCTGCTTTTGTCGACTCCTTCAAAACTATTATACGTCTTTCACCTCCATTGACAACTATGTCTTGATTTTGGAAGAGAAAGGTCTGTCTTTATACAGAATCTATATCTCTTGTGGCTGTGAAAGCTACCTTCTCTTTGCTATCAGATGGAAAAATCAGATTACCTTTAAGCACCATAACTGTTGTACTTGTTGAACAATCATGACCCATTCACCATCAGTAAGATATATAACCAACCATAACCAGTAAATCTCCTCAACTACGAAACTAAAATCAGATAATTACACAGCCTTAGTACCTCATTCATTTCCTTTTACACATCCTTCTTCAATATCACCCTAATCCCTTGTGTGGACATAAAGTCCTGCTCAAAAATCATATGGGTTATTTGATCAAAAGAGTTCTTGATCATTTAGAAGCTTAATTTACCTTGGTGTCGAACACAACAAGGTCATGCACTCTTCATGACATACAGTTTTTTTTTTTTCTTTTCTTACAAGAACACGAACAAGGGTGTCAAGTTTCAACAGGGATATTAGGTGTCATGAAACTTTCCCTCAAAAGATAGAAGCATCAAACAAAACATGTCTGTACAATTCCATACCCTACGAAGGTGTCATTTCTAAATTCTAATTTGACATATACGTGTCTAACAGTAAGAGACAGGGAACCGACAATAAGTCATTGCATGACATTGCAAAATGTGTCAGACGTGTTTTTGTTGTTATGTAGATAGAAAGGTGTACACCTGATGCAACAAGTGCAAATAAACAGAGGCATATACCAAAAAAGCAAAGAAACTTGAAAGAAAAGCAAAAGGGAGAGAATGAAAGAGAGGGAATCAGGGGGATAGAAGAAAAGAAAGGAGGAAGAGGTGTTTGCGTAGATAGAGATTTCACTAGGCAAAGAGCACCAGTCCCTTGCATCTACATTTTTTAAAGAAAATGGGTCAAACAATGGATTTGTATATCCAAATAAAATGCAAAAAGACAATGAATTGTTAGGTGACTTTGTTCATCGAGTATTTTTTGCAGCAATACAACAAAATAGTTTTACTTATAATACATATAAAATTTCCTACCCAAGAAACCATTGCAATAGATTTTTGCATAAAACATCAATAATAAAAAGATCAATGAAAGGAAAATCCACAAGGCCATTACTTGAACGTATGGATGGATTATAAAAGGACCCGTCCTCTTTCTTCAGCAGCACTCTCACTCTGCCCCTTTGCATGAAGTCGCGAGGATATGCCTTATCAACCTAAATCAATCAAAATGAAAACACTCACTAAATAGGGTGCTCTAGCAATTTGTGCACATGTTGCAAGGATATTCATTACCAACCAGAACCAACTAAATGAATACACTCATGAAATAGGGTCCTCTGTCAATTTGTGCACTAGTACATTGATTGTTGATGAGTTCAAGTAATAAAAAGGAAATCGGTGATCAGAAAATTTCTTGGGATGGAAAAATAATAACCTCCAAAAACCACAAATTCTATTTTTTCTACTGAGGTTATCTACAGAGTTCTTGGAATTAATTATTGAAATAAAAGGTAAACATCTCTTTCTTTTTTCCAGTGAATTTCCCTAAATTCTTTACGACATAAACCTAGTGGCCATTGCGTTTCAATTTCTCTCAGAAATAAATTTAATCGAAAAAATGAATTTGCATTTGCTAGACTCTATATGAGCCCAATTTCTCCACTAAAAGTATTAGTATCTAAGCCCGAGGTATTTTCAGAACTGGAGTGATCTGGTTTCACTTTTCCCAGTCGAGATCAAGCAAAACCACATAACATTACAGAAATTTATACATTCGAATTGAGAAACCCATGGTACATCAACTACAAGACACAAATATTGAAACAATAAAATACAATTGTGCAATAACTCCAGCACAAATATGTTCAGATTCTAGGGCACTCAAGATAAAACATCTTCAAGAATACAAGTTCCTCTGGTATCGTAATCAAAGTTTACATACAAGAAAAAGCAGGAAATCAAATGCTCTGAAGGGAGAGAAAGCGCAAAGTAGACATCAAGATTAGAAGGTAGAGAGAGAGGGAAAAAGACCTCAATCGCAAATGGAAGCTTCAGATGGTTGCAAGAGTCCCCGATCTCGACACAGGTGGGGTTTTCGCAGGCTTTGCTCACACCGATTCGTCTCCCCTCTGCTACTGTTTTCTTCGAATTTATGTATACGGGGTAAAACACGATCCACCTTTTTATGTTGGGTTGATCAATATCCATGGAAAATTCAATTAACAAACCTTGTAGAAAAGATTACCCCCTTTTAGAGAGAGAAAATAATCAACAATCCTCTTGTGGAGAGAGAATGCTACCTCTGCAGCAGATGGTAGAAATGCAAATGGGGCTAGAGATCGTGAGCTTTATTTTTCATTACGACTATTATGAGCAGATTCTATGGGCCTTAGGCCTTACGAAAAAGAGTAAAGCCTCGCATCAAATTTCCTCCGAAAAATATTTTAGGCATCGAAACCTTTTTGGGCTCTAAAATTTATTTCCACGAGTCGATTATGAATACAGTACAGATTTAATGTCAACATTTGCAAATGGACGATCAAGATAATGTACGCAATAAACAGTACTTTTACGGCTTGTATATATCCGCATTCATAATATCGAAGGTTAATATAATCAATTTGAAGGTTTTCTAATGTTATAATTATAAGTTTTGATGAGATTTGAAAAGTTGCTTTAAAATTGTTTATTTTTGGGTAATTATCATAACTATTTTTAAATATATTTGATAAATACCTAAATTCTTTGAAGCAAATAGTTTATATGAGGTTGTGACATTGAATTGTAGAAAACATGCACGCCTCAAAAATCTATCGAGAAAAGTTATTTTGATGGCGAATGATCCTCTCATTAATCTTTGAGATGTATGGATGTGAAAAAAAAAAAGATGTTACAATACTAATTACGGTACATCATGTAATTAGACCATCTATTCTTAAAATTTTCATGTATTTGTAGATTTGCTCGATCTATATCATTCTTTGAGTTTTAAAATTTTATGATTACAACCTTAAGCAATCCACCTAAGGCGTATCTCCAAATTTTATCATAACATGTAATTTTGGTATAAAATATTATTAAGATTATCTCAAAATCAATTTTCATATCTAATTATAACATTTTAAACTCCAAAAATAATTAAAATCTAGTAGATCATAAACATATGAAAAATCTTGAAAATGGACGGTCAAAATAATATGTTACAAGCTGCGCTATTTCTGAGACTCAATCTTTTTCTTTTCATATCTATGCATCTTGATGTCGAGATGGTCAATTAGATAGTTTTTGAGCATTCAAACAACATTTTTCGATGGATTTGTGAGATGCATATTTAATTCTACATTTTATTGCAACCTTATATAACCTTCTTCGTTCATAAAATAATCATTCAATTACGTAGATTCCAAAATTTTAGATCCAAAAAATTGGTTTCAGTCAGTTTTCTCCCCGGGGGACTGGACAGTATGCTTCAACAGTTCGTGCTCAACAACAAAATCCTTCCCGGTATGAGTTTTGCCGGGAAGTAAGCGTACAGTATTCTCTCGCGCGGGAGTACGTTTTATGCGCCCATATTTACGTGAGCTCGAATTTCGCAAATCCCAGTAAGAAAGGGAGGGACAGAAGGGTCGTATTTTTTTATAGAGAGAGAGGGGCTCTATTTGTTTAGAGAGAGAGAGGCCTGAGGAACAAGTATGCAGCAATTGTTTGGGAGCACGGAGGCTCCACCTCCTCCCATAAATCGAGCTCGATGCCTGTACATGTTCAATCGCAATGGCGTTTGCCTCTTTTACAGGGAATGGCTTCGTCCCCTCAAAACCCTAAGTCCACAACAGGATCATAAGCTCATGTTTGGTCTCCTTTTCTCCCTCAAGTCCTTCACTACCAAGATGGATCCCGTCATGTAAGATCGAAAACCTAACCTCTCTCTTCTCCTACTTTCTTTCTCTACATTTCTTCTCTCCATTTCCTAGAGATATTTTTTTTAGTTCTTTTGCTGCCTCCATTTCCATGTGGTTTCTTCTTCTTCTTCATCACCTGTTTCACAATTCAAATTCAGTCAATGGGTGGTTTCAGTCCAGTATTTCTTTGTTTGATAGTGATTTGGTTTCTCAATTAGGCATTAATTTGTGAGATCTTAGATCAAATCACTATGCATTATTGGGTTTAGGAATGCAAGATTTACTGGTCGAATAAAAGGAAACTATTCGATGGATATTGCTTCTAAATATTTCAGAATATAGAGATTATAGAACTGTTCTGTCCTTGGAAACTTGAAAACTTAAACACAATCCTTAGTTGTCATTAGTCTCTGCGTGATCTTAGTCTACTGATAATTGTGTTTGCCTCTCTCTCTCTCTCTCTCTCTCTCTCTCTCTCATTTTTTTAATATATATGAAGTACGGGGTTGATTTTTTCTGTGATGATGTTGAAGGTAATTGGTCCAATATATCGGAAATATAAATTCAAAATTATCGAGATTTCAATTCTCGTGTTTTAGCATGTTTTGTATTCTTTTTGTATTGTAGTGTTCTTTTACTTTTTTTCTTCAAACATAAACAGAAACTTGAGTGGGAATTTCCAATTTGATGTATCAAAAGGGAATTTCATATGGTAAAATTATGATTCCCATTGAAAGCAAAAGTCTTAAATCCTTGGTGCTTGATCCATGAAAACAAATATAGAGCAATTCCATGGATGCCAATGCCTACAATAGGATTTTGATAACAATTTATGTCTTCATTCTTTCTCGCAGTGCTGATAAAGGAAATCTTGGGGTCCCACAATTACCAGGTCAAGGATGCTCTTTTCATAGCTTTCGAACAAACACATACAAGCTGAGCTTTATGGAGAGTCCCTCTGGGATTAAGGTGGAATTTATTTCTATTATATGCATTCTTCATTTTTTATTTGCATGCATGGAAAGTAGGATATTATTTGATTAACATGGTTGCATTTTGTTGAGTGAAGTTCATTCTCTTTCTCTTCTTTGTTTTCTCTTTTTCTTCTAATATAAATTTCATCAAAAAAAGAAAAAAGATAAAGAACTGCATATACCTAGACAATTTCCATTTACACCAGGCAGTATCTAAACAATTCTTAGACATACTTATCTCTAGTGGTCTCAGTCAACCATGGAGTAGCCATGTTAATGCTTTTCCAAATCAAATTTGAATTCTAACATCCTTCTCATTTAATCCTTTGCATGAATGGCTATGCATGGAAATGGTTTATGGTCCAATCTGCCATATTTCTTTTCTCTGATTCCAATATGGCTTCTGTTTTTTAGCTCTTATGGATGTGTCTATTTGGGCATAGATACGGGCATGGCATGAGTGTTTTGTGAAGTTGGCATAAATTTTCAACGTTAACGGATTGGGGTATCTCTCAAATTTTAGTTATTCATGTGCCACTGTTCAGTTTGCTTCTATAGCAATGAACTTTGTAAACGTTTTGTTTTCGCAATTTCTGAAGGGTATAAGATACTTAATAGATGGTCAAATGTATTTCATGTCAAAAAGGATATGGACTATGAGAGGCTATTGGATTGGAACTGGACAAATTCCACAAAAGCTGAGTCTTTGCACTGCTGGAGGGGCTGCAATTGTATGATTGTAGATGGTGCCCCTCCCTTGCGGTGGAAGGGCATTCAATGAAGAGCATGTATACTATTGCTCCCTCATGAGCATAGTTTACTTCTACTTCCTCAATCAGATGACCTATTCGGAGGATTTTTTCAATCTGAAATTTTGATAACCACCTTGGAATCACTAGATGATTATTCCTAGAAAAAAAAATGAAATTTGAGCTTTCTAACACTTATCTCATCCGCTAAAAATTGGACAGTTTCTATTCAATTTTGAGACATTTTATTTTTCAAGTGCTTAGATGGTGCAATCAGGAAATCTTTTCTAGTGAGGTTAATCTATGTGTTAAAGAGGTTATATCCCCAAATTTTGGGGTCCTAAAACTAATCTTAGGCTATGTGTTTAAGAGGTTCTATCCCCAAATTTTGGGGTCCTAAAACTATTCTTAGGTGGGGTTTTATTCAAGGGGGTAAATGATAGTATACTCCCGAGGGAGTAGAATATCTTTTTGCTTCAATGAATGTTATTAGATTGGCCTTAAGCGAGTACCCTGTCCCTAGCATCTCGAACCATTTTTTGACCCAATCTTCAAGATTTGCAGCTCTATCCTCCTGCACTTATGATGCAAGGCCAATGCGGTTGCAGATGCCTTGGTGAAGGATGGGGCTGCGAGTAATGGTTTTGTACTTAACAGGCCCCAGTCCTAATCGGGACGTTTTTATAATTCATTGTTGTACAAATTATTATTTTTGGCCCCTAGCCAGTTTCAACCATGTAATTTCTTTTACCATTAATATAATGTCAACTTGCTTTAAAAAAAAAATGGACCATACTGAAGAGCGTTATCTAAAGCTTCTGCCTAGGTCATATGTGCTTGAAGCTGGGTTCAAGGCTTCAAAGCACATAAGCTGCTGGTTGCAACATCAAGCACCTCCCAATCCTCCCAATCTATGTATGATCTTCAACCTGCATCCTAGAATAAATCAAATTAAATGGGGCTCATGCTGACCTGCTGCACCTGTATCAATGGGCGTTAAATTAATTTAAATTCATTTTGGTGATTTAAGACTTCAATAAGCTTATAATCTTGATAATACAATGGAAAAATAGGTTGTCGATCTTCATGGGCATTAAGCATTGCTGCTTATCTCAAGTATCTTGTTTGTTGAACATATAAAACATTTGTGTAATGAATACCTGTCTTATAGACATCTTTGGATTCTGACTCTGCATCTTCTTGTGGATGTTACAGATCATCTTGATCACAGATCCCAAAATGAGTGATCTTCGGGAACCCTTGAGGTATATTTATAACTTGTATGTTGAATACGTGGTCAAGAATCCACTCTATGTTCCTGGGAACCCAGTCAGGTAATCTACTCGTCTTTGTTTTATAATCTTATTAGCTTATTAGTTTTGATTCTAATGTTTATTATGTAAGATGACTTGTTTGTTTAACCTCATCAATGTAACTATGGTAATATTTGATTGATTGATACACCACACACAACTTTATGAAGTAACAGTTAGCCAAATGCACATAAAAACTGAATATGTGTAATTTTGGTAGATGGTCATTATGGTCAATCTAAAGATCTTTTAGCTTGTTCTTGCTTCTTGATTTTCCCTAGTTATTGGAGTTCGTGTTAAGGATTACTAAAAAATTCCCTAAACAACTGAGTAAATTCTTTTGATTTGGATCCTTCTCTGTGTAGGGGTGAGCTGTTTAATACAACACTCGATCAGTATGTGAGGACCCTGTCTTAATTGCATCTTTGAGGTGATTATCTTTCTTGTTTGACATGTTCACAACTCTATTTTGGTTTTTACTTTTTTGTGGATTGAGACTCTTAACTTGTTGTGGGTATTTCTTGGCAACATTATTTTGAGGGGGATCTCAAAGTTACAGCTTTTCTTAGGAAACTCGGAGGGGGAGCTTTTAAGAAAATACTTAGAAACGAATGACAGAATTGGGAAATTTCAAAAGAAAAAAAAGAAATATGGTTTATATATAATGTTTAAACTTAGGTTTCTTAAAATATTGTTTTGTATAGTAATGATCCTATAGGACCCTCCTCCACCATGTGTGTAGGACCCCAAAGGATCACCAATAAACTTAGCACGGATCTCTAGAAAAGTTATCAGGACTTGACTGTTCTAGAGATCCATACCATCTTTAATGGTGATCTTTTGGGGGTTCTACACATATGAGTGGGAGAGGGTCCTATGGGATCATTTCTCATTCACAATTTCTTATATTTTTAAAAGAATAATGATTCTATAGAACCCTCCTTCACCCATGTGTGTAGGACTTCAAAGGATCATCATTAAAGTTGGCACGGATCTCTAGAAAAGTTATCACATGGGTGTGGGACTTGACTGCTCTATAGATCCGTGCCAAATTTAATGGTGATCTTTTAGGGTCCTACACACATGCGTGGGGAAGGGTCCTACAGGATTATTTCTAAAACCTACAAGTTTAATTTTATATGACTTTAAGTATTTACAATTTAGCACATTACCTCCAAAAAATTGCTGAAAAATAGAACAGGCAAATCTTACACTATTTTTCCAAAATTTCAAGAAGAAATGGTGATATGATCACCATGCTTTGGACATAATATATATGATATTGAGGTTAACTTGTTTTTCTGCAGATGCCGTACACATTTTGCGTTTGAAGATGAGCATTCCGGAGGGCCCATTATTGAGTTTTCTTGTCAGCTGAGGTCTTCAGCAAGACTTGGAACTCCAAGTGGCGTCTGATTTACAGCGCTCCATGTTTCATGCTTGAATTTTCAGTTTAGGATTGGGTCTGCCCTAGTCTTTTGTTTTTTTTTCTTTTTTTGCTGTGTTTAATTTGCTTTTTCAATTTTTCTGTGCCCATCTCCATTATATGATAATTTGTGGTGAACATGAATACTAAGATGTGCATGAAATGTGAATGGGAAGGCTAGGGATGGGCACGGGCAATGTAAGATTGTTGTCATTGAAACCAAAAGATTTTCGGGAGTGTACTATCCATAGGGCTGTAACCCGGTGTTGGTCCCTCCTAAGTAGGGTCCCGGGAGGGGTGGGTTGGGCTGGGCCGGAAACGGTCCTAACTTTTGGCTTATGCACAAAGTGGCTGCTCTTAAGATTCGAACCCGTTCGGCTACCCGAGCTTTTTACCGTCACACCAAGTGACAGTCCTTAGGAGTATACTATCCATCTACTCCCATCATTCAATGGGACGAGGTCTTGGTGCGATTATATGCATCACTCTCCAAATTCCATTGAATCCAAAATGTCAAAGGGCGATAATCTCGACTATGTTGATTATGAATCTGAAAAAAAAAACATTTATTAAAACTTGACTTTTTTTGGAAAGTCATGCTAATATCCCCTTTTAAGAATTAGAATTCTATCTCCTATATGTTACGATTTACACTTGGATCTCTACTTTTTATTTTTTTATTTTTGTCAAAATGTTGGGCTTTGAACTTTCAAAATCCAAACATAAATTATTAACATATCGGTTCAGATAATGAAATTCCTAACCGGTTTCATGTGAATCAAGAAGTTCGGATTTTGAACCCAGTTTAGTTGATTTTTGGGTTTGGAATTTCAAGATCTGAACCGCACTCCTCACCTACCTAACTCAATCATAAGCTCAAATAAACTGGATTGAAATTTCAACTTCCCATGGGGTTGGGTTCACAAAAAAATGATTTAGAATTTCAATTTCTGAGCGATTTATTAATAGTTTTCGTTTGAATTTTGAAAGTTGGAATCAATGGCATTTTGGTTAAACAAAAAAAAAAAACTAGGACAGAAAAGTAAATTAGGGGATGGATTCTAAATTTTGCAAAAACTAGGAATATTAGTTTAAATTTCTCTCTTTTATGCTATCCTCCATTTTATTAGACTTGCACCATTTTTACGGCAGTTGAGCTGTATTTTTAGTTATTTAAGATGTGTTTTACATTCTAAATTTATGGAACTATGGGTGGATTAGCGAGAGTGTTGAAACTCATTGACTTCTCTATTGAAATTTTATCAAGTGGAAAGTTAACATAAGTACGTTTTATCATCATTGAAGTTTTTTTCTAACTAATTAGAAATGGCTACACGTATTTTGACCTGCTGTTTTACTCTATTAAAAGCCAAATACATTTAATACATCTTTCTAGATACATTTGCTACCTCAATGTGCACCCAACTTGAGGTAGCAATCAGTGCCCTCAACGTGCACCCAACTTGAGGTAGCAATCAGTGCCCTTGATCCTATAAAGACGCGACTTTTTACCATCAATGTTTTTGTTGGTTTTGTCGTTCTACATCATATTGGAAGTCATTGTTACCTAAACCTTCCTCCTTAACACCGCACTCCCTCTTCACTTTCGTACAATAACCATAAGGTCAATGGAAAGGAAGGAGAACCATAAGATGAATGGAGAGGAAATAATGGTGGTTGAGGTAACCAATTATTTATTGCTTCATGAGAGGGAGAGAGGCGGCCCATATATTTAGTGGCTTTAGAGTGACATTTCTAGCTTTGCCCAATTTTTTTGTTGATTCCTTGATAAATAGATGGATCGATTGATGAAGAAGACGATCAATTCATTTCCCTTATATTTTCCTGGTTAAAGAGAGAGGAGCGCATCTAAACATAGAAAGATGTTAATCGAAAGACAACTAAGGAATTCTTTCGTTAAATTGCAGAGGAAAAAAGGGAGAAGGTAGCCATGGGGTAAGACGGTTTTACGTAGTGATTGGGGCCACAAACTGAGAATGATAATAAAGATCCAAATTAAGCACTTCAACAATTTAAGAAGTAAATGAATCAAACTCTATAAACTAGTCTTTCATAATTCTTTTGTTTCCTTTATTTTTGTTAACCTTATATTCATCATTTTATTTTGAATACATCATTGAAGATGGTTTAACACCATCGGTTCTAGAGCTTGCAACTGTAAAGCAAGAGATCATGTGCTCAATATATTACTACAAATGGCTCAGGCTGTAAATCAATGATTTAACTCTTGGCTGGGGCACCCCAGACAACTGAAACATCTTGTAAGTCCTCGCAAACAAAGTTTAGAAGCATTGTATTGTCTAAGCTTTTCTACAACGATAGACAATCAATACTACTAGAAGTATACCCGCATGTCGAAGAGTCAACCAATTTTGAAACAACAATGCATCCACACACAAAACTTGAACATTTCTAGAGTGTCTCGAATAAAAATCACAAATTAAAACTGGTTAAATTAAAGCTCTTAGAAGCAGACAAATGGCATATATGCCCTTTGATTCAAAATTTGCTATGAATGAAATCTACTTAAAACTACAGAATATAGATATTCCTATCTTAGAACCAGACAAATTGGCATACATACCCTTTGATCAAATTTTGCTACAAATCCAGGGGCCTCAGAAGGATAATGTCCCACAATAAGGTCATCTCACTCATTTGAATACAGTCCAAAATTTCAAATAAATAACTCATTATTTTCTGCAAAATTAGAACTTGTGATCAAGCATAAAGAGTATTCAACAAGGCTCCACACTAAAAGCTCTCTCTAGGATCCAAAACCACCTTAAACTAAACTCAGTCACAAGACTAACCTGTGTTTCTTGCATTATGAGGTAGAAAAAACATTTTCTCAAGCACCACTTGGTATGGAAAGGGTCGATCACACTAGGCCTTCCAAGATCAATAACATAGAGAAACTCTTCCACTTCCACACTCATGAGCCCTCCAGAAACAGCAATTCCTCTGATACCATTTTGTTGGACCAATAAAAAATTCCCGCAAACCATTGTTTCAGCAGAGACTAGTTGCCTACCGAGCTTTCTTGGAGGACTTTTTGAAAGATTTCCTCTTTGAAGGCTTTGACTTTGCTGAGGTTGACAAAGTGTCCCGCTGCTTTCGCTTCTTCTCTTCCTTCACCTTGAACATCGATACAGCCTGTTCGACAACTAACCATAAATCTCGACAAATTCACTGAGTTGTGTGTCTTGTGGGGTGCATGCATATGAGAGAGAGAGAGAGACCCTAGTCCAGGATTCACTTTAAGTTCATTCTACTGTTCAATTAGAACCCCATAAACAAGAATACGTCAGGAAAATTGTCCCTTCGTTGGTAGAGGAAAAGAACATTGACTGGATTCCTTCAGTAGGCTAAGAGGCACATGAGTGTGCATGCTAAACACACAAGCGGAGAGAGAGAGAGAGAGAGAGAGAGAGAGAGACCTTGTTCACATCAAGAATTTCATGAGAGTGTTTAGACAGAAGCTGACTCAGAACCTTCTCGCTCTGCTGCCTCTCCTGGTTACCCATTCCCTTGCCCTCAACAACAGGAAGGAACTGCACAGAAAAATAAAAATAAAGCACAAACCACTCTAAAATCCAATGAAACCCCACAAGAACAAAGGCCGTAGCATACCTTGCGATATTTACCAGGGTGCTTTGGGGGCTTCTCACCTGGAAGCTTCTTATCAAACTTCCCACCACTTGCTGTTGCAGTCCCAGCTAACCCAGCCACACTTTCAAGTTCATCTCTGCTAGCCTTCTTAGGGGCCTCCTTAGTTCCTGTTATGGGCAGTGCTCTTGCAGCCAATTGCACAGTGCTGTCCAAATACAGTCCATTTGTTTTTTTATTTTGGTACGTCATAAAGATCTCATTTAAAGAAAAAGCAGCAGTTTATGAAAGTTGTACTTCAGAATTTATGGCTAGCCATATTATATATCAGAATATTATAGCTCAGAATCAGATACTGACTAAAACTGCACTAGTTAATGAGAAAAAAATTGAACCAGGTCCAAGAGAAGACAATCTTTTTTCACTTATTTATTTAAACACACATAATCATAAAAGAATGCATTTGATCATGGATAATGAATCATTCAGGCATTTTCCAATTTGAGTGGGAAAGCAAGGATCTGCACTGGCTGTTTATGCCTTAACCACCAAGCTTCCACACCCAACTCAACAATTCTCGGTTAAGATTAGTAACTTATGAGTTGGCAATTAGTGGTCAAATTTTCAAGTTTTATCTTTGGGTTGGTGTTCAACTCTAAATTGCTAATTATTATTTCGAACTCCATTTATAGTTTATTTCTTATAATCAACTTCATGGTTGACTAGCCAGTAGCACATGTTTAACAAGTATGGACCAGTATAATTTGAAGAGAAACCTTAACACATGATAGAGTGGGTAACAGAACAAACCTTGGCAAGGCACCGACTTTGGCAGCCTGTTTCAGGTTCTGCAGCTGATTCTTCTCTTGCTTCTCAACACGTTTCTTCTTTTCGGCCTTTCTCTGAGCAAATGGATCCACTCCTGGCTCTATGATATAGACAATCACAACAACAATTAGAGAGAGAGAGAGTCAGTCAGAATAAGTCTCATTATCATATCAACAATGTGCATGTTTAAATAGCTTAGACAATTATATGTTTATGATTATATGACTTGGGAGTTTTATTGACAGATAATCAATCTATTGCAATGTAAAAATTTCAAATCGAGAAAAGAGCAAAGGCTCTCCAATATGTCAATATGGCATCCAAAGAGATTGACTGATTCAGGGAGTCCCTCTACAAAAATGGCATGATGGCTCCACCATGTACCAATGCATCCTCCTCCACACTATCCATGAGGAGAACACAAAAAGGAATATATCTAGCACCACACAAATCAAAAAACTCCTCAAAGGTATCAGATAATCGCAGAGGAAAGGCTGCCTCCTTATGATTGGGAACTAGATAAAAAGCCGGTATTGAGGAATATAAGATCACTTTGTTGCTTGAATCCTTCAAAAAGCGGTCTATGGAATTGGAAATGAAGCAGGAGACCTCGATTTGTTGTGGAGAAAAACAAAAGCACCACTGAAGCAGAAAACAAGGATCAAGATACCACAATATCCAAGACTTTCAATAGTGGTTTGTGATATTTGGCACATGTGGACAGATGGCGACGTATCAGAATCCAAGAAACAAAGAAACATGTTATTTTCTGAAAATTCTCATGCACCTACAAGTATGTGAAAGGGCCCTGATAAAAACAAAGACTAACGAATTTAAAACAGATTCCTGGAGCGTAATCATAACTTTTTTTTTTTGGATTAATTTCTCATACATTGAGTCATCATCATCCAAGTGTTATTTCAATTAATTGGGGTCGCCTACATGAATCTTGTTCCTCTTCCATTCTTCTCTATCAAGGGTCATACCCTCAATAAGACCAAAAGTCCCCATATTTTTTCTCATTACTTCTATCCATGTTGTTTTGGACCTTCCCCTTGCCTTTTTAGAACCTTCTACTTGATCCAAAGCATATCTCCTAACCGGTGTTGTATTAGGTCTACGCTGCACATGGCCAGCCACCTAAGTCTACTTTCCCTCATCTTATCACCCATTGAAGCCCTACCTAAGTTCCCTCGTATGTATCCATTCTGAATTCTATCTTTTCTTGTCTTTACACTCGTCCATCTCAATATCCTAATCTCAACTACGCTCATCCTATGGATATGTTGTTTCTTGGCCGCATAACATTCCAGCCAATAAAACATGGCTGGTCTTACAGCCGTCCTATAGAACTTCCCCTTCAATCTCAATGGTATGCAATGACCATATACAAATCAGGATGCACATAGTTATAGGTTCAACGCCGACTCCTGATGTACCATTGTCACTAAAAACTCACTTGTCACTCCATTAGTTGTCCGTACACTGGTTAGTGCTCCATCATACATATCTCCCACTATGTCAATATAGGCTTGGGTGACTCATTTCTTTTCCAATACCCACCAAATTAGGTCTCTAAATCCCTCGTGTAAGAAGGGTAGGGACCTTAAACTCTTCCTTAATCCGTCCCAAGCTTGGGTCTAGGAGGTGGGTTCCGGTAGGTAGGCAGCTAGCATAAAACTGTGCCACATTTTATCATGAATTCTCATGCCTTGAGTACATAAGATTATTCCAGTCATTTTGTCAAGCGCATAGTTAAAAAGGGCATAAAACTCCATGAATGGCAGGTGTCTCACCATTAGAGTAAAGGGCAGGTTGATAAGGATATATGAGTTCCATAATCAACACAAGTGGTAGGGAGATAACAATAGTGCAGTACATTTGGATTAGGATGGCATGGACCGATGTAAATGATGGTACAGAAGGATTTGGATAAGACTAGAAATTGAACTATTATTGACATTCATAACAGTTTTCATACTTTTTTTTTTCAAATTGACTATTGTATTAAGTGTACTAGAAATATACAAATTATATGTGGGAGCAGCCTTTACCGAAAAAAAAAAAAGAAAAAGTTCCTTGCAACTATCTCCTTTGATAATTAACAATATTTTGTTCAAGATAACACTCATATCCAACACTTCAAATACTTCATTATAGTTTCCAATCTCAATAGACCTAGAGTGGTGAGAAATGTACCACATTTGAAGTCAATGGAGAGCCCCCATTGGTAAATAAACCATTCATAGCAATACTAAACGGTCTTTTAACATACAACAGAACATATTCAAATCTAAGTAAAACTACCTACATAACTATGTACCAAAATAAAAAACACATAGAGTAGAGCTATTTTCATTTGTATAGTCGAGGAGGGTGTGAAAAAAACAGAATGCTTTGCAAACTGTGACACATTACCATCAGTATCCTTGGCTTCAATGATAGGCACATCTTTATCATCATCGACACGGTCATAACCATAGCGTCTCTTCCAGTTCTGAGTTGTTTCATCAAAGGCAAGCTTGCTTTTCTTACGGTTCTTTATTCCTATGGAGAGGAAACAAATCATGAAGATAACAAATAACAATAAATGAACTCACAAGCCCTACAACAAAGATCATATCCAAGACTTAACAATTGGATAATTGCACCAATTTGGAAAAGAAAAGAAAACAAAAGAAAGAGAAGTCTAGAATAACAAAGGGAATGAAATGCGTATAAAAAAAATACGAACCTTTCTTTTGGGCAAACTGTTCCCATTTTGTAGGAGGTTTAGGCTTTGGAAGCTGCACACAATAAAATTAACAGGTTACCATACTTGATTTCAACAAGAGAGAAATGTCGACTCAAATTATTTCCAAGTGAATAACAAAATCCACTTAAATTAAAGCGCAGGTTGTCAATTTTGTGCCGAGGCAAATAGAATTTTAGTACATCAATATCCATTTTTACATTCACTGCAATGTGATAATTTTTATTTTTTAAATCAGGTTACGTGCAATGCACATTTCTATTATTGTGCTTAAAAACTCATGATCGTAAAAACATATGAATTTTTTTCCAAAAAGCAATTCCTTGTGATTCGAGGATTAGGGATTAGCTTTGCAATAAAGTTAACAATCCTCAAAATATGAAAGAACATCTATTTATGCGTACACATCCAAAATAGTTTTTTTCTTTTTTTTTTTGAGAATGAGGGAAACTCTTTTTTTTTTTTTTTGGGACGTGTACACATCCAAAATATTTACAAGAAGGTTAGGATAAAATAAAGCCTTCATTAAAAGGAGAGTTTCCTTTATCAATTAAATTTCATGATTTCATCTTACATATTTCTAAAATATTTATTATAGGAAGAGATAGTGATAGAATTATGTTAGGACGTAGGTTAAAATGGCAGATTAAATGGTTCTATGTAGTAACATAGTTGGGCAACATTCCACGGGAAGTGAAGCTCCTAGTCTCTCTCTCTTTTTACACACAGGAAATGAAACTTTCTATCTCTTCACCATAGAGAATATTTCAGGACCAGGGAGAGATCAGGACTAGATATAAACGTGATTTTGAACTGATACCGACAAGTCCTTGTTACTTTGCTTCACAAATGTCAAACACGCACTCTCGTGCATCAGTTCTTCACCATTTGCAAAACTAAAAGCTAGATGAGATTTCATAACCAGAGACAAGATGAACTTTCAATTGATTCAGGTCTCCAGAATATGTGTGCAGGTGTGTGTGCGCGAGCATGTGTGTGTGAGAGAGAAACAGAGAGGGAGATCAGAATCAAAAGAAGATTTGCAACAGATACCACAAGTTACAATTACTTGTCTTCAAAAATGTTAAACATGTACTTTCGTGCATCCATTTTCTCTAACATTCACAAAATAAAACTCGGCAACACAACTAAAAAAGACAAATAAATAAACTAGCAGAGTTTTGCCTAACAATGAGCAGCACAACTGTAACAGACAAAGTTTTTCCCCCAAAAATAAAATCATTGAATTTTCTATGACCAGATAAAAAGGAATAACTGTGATCATACAAACAAAAACACTCAAACTTACATGCTTCTCTCTGGGTAAACGAAAAGAAGGAGTAGGCAAATTAACAAGAGGACCATCTGGGTCTTGAGTAGACGGAAGCTCGAATAGGGCACCAGCAAGAGCCTGGACGAGCTCCCTTCCCTTATCCAAGCACTCTTTCAACAATACTTCCCTGCATAAACCCTAAAAGTATGTGATGCAAGCTCCAACCAGTAAAAGTAAATAAAAGAACTGATAACAACAAAGTCAATCATTTCCGCAGATTGAAGCCTCAGGGTGACAAGCGCAAGAAAGAAGCCTCAGGGTGAAGATTGAATCATTTCCGGAGAGATTAGGGTTAGAGAGAGAAAGAGTCTTTACCTGGAGGGAAGTTGAGGGGGAAATTGGTGTTGAGGCTCGAAGGCCATGAGGTTTCCAAGGTCTATCTCCATCTCTCTTCTCTCTATCTCGAACCACTCCTGCAGCAAGCTAAGAAGCCCTTTTACCGGCTATGCTTGAACCTTGAAATCGATGGTGCTTTTGCTGAACTTCTTGCAGCAGTTGCGAGAGAGGAAGGAATCTCTCCACGAGAGAGAGAGAGAGAGACAGGTGAAGCGATCTTAGGTCAAGGGCACCACAAAATGAACGGCGATCGTGGGAGTACATGGGCAGCGTGTTCCAGCTGGAGTACGAAGCAGAGATGATCAATTTGAAGGTTTTTCAAGTGTCGATAAGTTTTTGGAGCGAGGCTTAAACTTAATTCTCGATAAGTTTTTGAAGCGTGGCTTAACTTATTTTGATAGGGCTGCAACTTTATCAAAATATTGTTTTTAAACGTAACTTCATATATCGGCCATAAATTGTTTTTAAATGTAACTTCAATTATCAGCTACAAAAGGGTTTCATATTATATTTTATTTTTATTTTAATATTTAAAAAATATGAGTTTTTTCTAGTAATATCTAACAAACATTTCCCAAGCCTACCTAAAGGAAGACCTATCCCGGGCCTACCTATAAGGAGAGGTCTACTTTGTTGTCGATTAAAAGTCTCTTGGGTACATCCTCGCACTCAAAACAAATTTCTCCACAAGGTGTTGCCTTTATTTCCCGATGGCAGCCATTTCATGTAAGAGGATTCAAGTTCTGTTCATATGCTAAGTAGGAATCGGGCTTAGGTTAAGGCGGTAGTAGCTGGGTTTTTTACTTGTCAATTAATTGATCATTTAAAAAATCGAAATTGAAGCTTCAAATATCACCCCAGTCCTATATATGGGCAACTTGCTTAGGTTATGAAGATTAGGACTATTCCTCTATCATCAGATGTTGTAGGTGTTTAGTTCTTTGATATTCATTCAACTTGTTTTACTGGATAAATATCAAGGTTGAATTGCTATAGACAATTGAAATTCAATTGGATTTTAATTTTGACGATGAAATTCTTCTTTTTACCAAACTTAAGGTCTTGTTTGGGCACATGGATTTTGGGGCATAAATATTTAATATCTTGGATATTACTAAAGGGTGCGGTTTGTATAGAGCCTAGGCTCTAAATAATCAAATCATAGCCTACCTTCAAATAATGTCGAGAAATGTGATTTTACTACTATAAATCTTTGTGATGGCCTTAAAATATATTTTCATATTTATTTATAAAGCTCAAAGGTTAAAAATAGTGTAGATCGACAGATCTATGAAAACTTGAAAACCTGACGGTCTAAAAATGCGTTACAAAATAAACTATTTCCACAACTTGAAATCCAATAAAGGAAGTATAAAAACCTTTCCCATAGTATATGAAGCCAATTTAATCTTATTAGAGAGATAATCTTATTCGTTTGTAATCTTATTTTCTATAACCTAGTTGAACATTTATGTTCTTCTTTTTTTATTCAAATCTTATGTCTTCTAGTTACTTTTTATTTAATTATGATACCAAAGCTTTTTATAGTTACCACTTTAATGGTGCACAGATATGGAAATATATTTATATACTTTTTGGTTAGACTCCTTTCTCATTGAGTTCACATAAATATTTATTCAAATTTACTTTTGAAAGTTTTACTTACAAAAGGACCTCACTCCCACACGACGGCTATGGTTGGATGTCCTTGCAAACTCAATAGCTAATTTAGTGTTAAATTGTTAATGAATATGTTATTAATCATATAATCGATATAGTAGTTTTGAAGATGGTATATGTTTCCCTCAAAAGCCTGTAATAGTTTTCTATGCATTATTCCATAGATTTTGAAACTAGGGATAATTCATCGAGAACTAAAAAATTCATGTGAAAAATAGTATTTTACTATCCGACACACGAGTTCCCTCTCGCAATGGACCCATAACTAAAAACTCATGGGAAAAATAGTTTTTAATATCCGACACACGAGTACCCTTTGTCAATTGACCCAGACCCAACCCATGTAGAAACGAAAAGCAATCCACGGAAACAAAAAAGAAAAAACAAACATAAAAGAAAGAGATAATCAATCACAACGCAAAGATATACGTGGTTCGGCAAGGTGCCTACGTTTACGAGACATGATAGCTTCTTTACTGGCAATGGAGAATAGGGTTACAATAGCTCCTTTTTCCTCACACCTCTCTATTCTCTCTTATTACAAAGAAATGAGTGTTTTTCCCTTAACTATAAAAATAACCCCCATCGCTATAATATATATAGTCTCGTATACATTACCAAAATACCCATATACGAATATATATCGAGTCCCAGATAGATGGTATAAATTATCAAAATACCCTTTTAACGGCCATCCAGAGTCGTCCTTGTGACTTTACCTTGACAAATCTGTTTCCTCATAACACAAGACATCAATCATCAACAACCCGGACCCGAGGGATAAACCCAATCCGGCTCAGGTCGGGTCAAATTCCGGTGGTCTCAACATATAAAGAGAAAAGTTTATATAGAGTCTACGCTCTAAACCAATGGTTTAAAAAACGGATCGGTGACCCGGATCGGGCACCTCCAAAACCCATCCAGATCAGTGAATCGACGATCCGGATCGAGAATCAACTAAATCGGTCGGATTAAGCCTTAAAAATAATATGAAAAAATGATTAAAATTCATTATAAATATTTTCTTTTAGGAATTCAATAAGAAATAGGGGTACTCCATTAAGAAATTTCATTTCTTTGCATGAATATGCAAATATTAATATGTTCTTTCCTTGCATGAACTACTATTTACCATTTAATTTACATCATACAAAATGATAAACATAGAATTATCATGGATTCAGTATATCATCATACATGGACTACAATAAAGCATATAATTTGTAACATACGATCTAAAAATAAAATGCAGATGACGTCGTTCTTCATCTTGGTCACGCTGGTACCATTGATTGAATTCGCGTGACAATTCATTCACTCATTCTAAAAACGAATTATTCAAATTAGTGGGCACCTAACTATACTCAAATCCCTGAGTGTTAGTGTTTTGTTGTAGTCCTAATCCGAAATCCCTGAAGCTTGTTTATCCTTCATGCTCACCTACACTATCGTGCTTATCCCTACCCTCTTATTGTTGGGACTTGATATGTAAATAATTTGGCTGGGATTAGGTGGCCTCAGAATCATCATCTCTCTCATTTTCCCTTAGACCCCCTTTCCACTCTTCCTCATTAGGTGCAATATCACCGATATCTCTGACGAATTGTGGATATATTGGCGGGCTGCTTCTTCTTTCATGCTGCTCATCACCTTCTCCAAGATCTTCCTTACCGATAACCTCAAGAAACGCTCTCTTGTGCAACACTGGCTCTTTTTTTCTATTACCCATTATTCTGCTGTGTCTATGACAAATATTGTGTCCAAGTCTATCGGCTCATAGTTTTCAAGCTTCCCTCTTATTTGTTGCTCTCGGAGTTATAAACTAGCTATCTCCTCATTCATCCTCTGGTTTACAATTTTTTTACCTTTGGTAACCTTGATAAATGCCGCCTTCTGCTTTCTTACATTACTAGGGACACTATTGCACACATAAATATCTCCCTTAACCCCTGCCAAGTGTTGTTTGAACCTATGTACCCCA